TGGTTGAGTATCATTGAATGTGGTGTGTGTGTGTAAGAAGGCGGGAATGCAATATAATGCAAATGTTCGGTTTATATAAGTGTATTTTTGTGTCTTTCTATGTCTGAAAGTGCTGACACGTGTAATTATTTTCTCCTTTTGAACAAATTATCAACGCTGGAATCTAAAATGTCTGATGGCGTGTCGTGTTTCTCTAATGGTGATTAAATGCGAGTTATTCGGGTCAAATGTCAGTATGAACTAATCGATGAGTATGTAATTGATTGATCTCGCGAACCGATGTCTACATATGTACTTGATTATGTATTTGAAAGCCCGAGGTCACCTGGCCGAGATATGTGACGCCACGTGCCCACGCAGCAGACCATGTCTGACGTAAAGGAGTCGTTGCCATTCGTTCTGGTGCAAATAGTCCGCTAACGACTCCGTCTGCTATAAATAACAACGTCACGCGTTTGTAAAGTACATCATATCTGTTCGACGGTTGGTCAATGGAGACTTGTACAAAAGCACATCTGAAACGTGTCTTCATATCAATCACATGTTGCGGCTTTTCGAGCGTTCATCAAGCCTGTCAGTGTTAAGAGAATACATGTGACTCTTGTGTCCTTAGTTTGGTTGAGGTCAAATGGGGCTTAATGCCGCGTTCAAGAATGTAGCATGTGTATATATTTTCCATAAAAAGAAACGCTAAGCACAATTTAAGGAAGTAACGCATATTTCTTGATCATATGAACACTTGAGTTATGACAGACATTCAGAAAAGCAGTGTGATAATAATAAGGCAATTTGTATAGCGCAACAATACACACAATTAAGTATGCTCAAGGCGCTTAAAAGAAGGCAGGGAGGCAGATGACATATTGAGTCATTTTGATATCCGACAAACTTAGACAGTGTATTGTTTGCATGGGTGGGTTTTCAGGAGTGATTTGAAGGAGCGTCAAAGTGGGCGCTGTCTATACAGAGATTGGAAGGTTGTTCCAGCAAAAGGAAGTAGAACTGGCAGATGTCTTTGAGCCAAATGTTTTCAACTGCCATGTAGGAACATGGAAAGGTGCTGGTCGGCTGAGCGAAGACGTCTTAATGGTTAATACCTATGTATCAACTCTGACAGATATTCTGGAGCTGTGTTGTTAACACATTGACACATGAGTGAGAGGAGTTTGAACTCTATTCTCTCCTTTAATTGAAGCCAGTGCAGAGAGTTCAGGGCTGGTGAGATATGCTCTGACTGTCTCTTCTTCGCTATCACACGAGCTGCCGAGTTCTGACCCGTCTGTAGTTTCCTCAGGTGTTCATTAGAGATACCCTACAGGAGACTGTTACTATAGTCCAATCTTGAGAGAACAAGCGATCTCATCAAAGTTGCAGCAGATTTGAATGACATCAGATGTTGGATCACAGGCAAATTGTAGCGCACTTAGGGTTGCGCAGCAAAGAGAAAATGACCAGTCTTTAATTTGCCTGTGGTTGGATGCAGTTTACGTTCCCGAGTCATGTGGAAGAAACATTTCTTACAGATTTCGTTGAAGTTTTTGTCCATAGACAGAATGTGGTCGATGTAGATGCCGAGGTTTTCACAATCTGAGCTTAACTGATCCTTGTTTTACCGACAGATATGTGCTGAGGTGTGATCTGATTCACTCTTGTCTTTAGGCCAGATAGTACGGCTTCGTTCTTTTCCTCGTTTACCATCAACATGTTTGTCATCCAGGACTTTGCTGAATTGATGCAGCACTCCACCTCCGACATTGTGTCAACTTGACTCTCTGGTTTCAAAGGGATGTTTTTATAAAGCTGTGCATCATCTGCACAGAAATGATAAGCAACCTCATTCACTGCAATTTGTTCTCCCAGAGGTTGGTTGTATGGTGTAAACAGCAGTGGTCCAAGAACTGAGCTTTTTGGTACTCCACAGGACAGGGAGACTTGATAATGACGAGTTGATCAGTACTCTCCACTTTCTCTTTGTCAGCTAAGATGAAAACCACTGAAGTACAGTGCCTTCAATTCCGTACTCATTACAGTGAGTGAGATGAGTTTTACGCCGCACTCAGACTCGGTAATATTCCAGCTATATGGCGGCGGTCTGTAATAAATCGAGTCTGGACCAGACAATCCAGTGATCAACAGCATGAGCATCGATCTGCGCAAATGGGAACCGATGACATGTGTCAACCAAGTCAGCGAACCTGACCACCCGATCCCGTTAGTCGCCGCTTACGACAAGCATGGGTTACTGAAGGCCAATATACTCCTAGGCCAAATGTAGAGATAATTATCAGGTAATATGATACACCAGGCCTTATCACCCATACTGCATATCCTGATCATGTTGAACACCACTGCTTGTCACCGTCCATTAAACCATGTGGTTAATACTCATGAAAATGGTCTATTAACATGTGGACACTGTTTCAACAGTGGGGTAAACCTTGTTTGTTTTCAGCAACCTGATACATTCTGTGTCTAGTTCCACACATTGACAAGAATCTCTGGAGGGTGGGAGTTGTCATACCAATTACTGGATAACGCTTTTACTGCTGCTGAGATCCTAAAAGATAGGGACTTTTCTAACATTTGGCCTAGGACTCAATATACAACCCTGACCTTCACGGGTTTTACTCATTACAGAGACGCGTTACTTGGATGCTGTGATCAATTGTATCAAACGCCGTTGATAGATTGAGAAGCACCAATAAGGCGACATCTCCATTGTCCACGTACGTCCGTACGTCGTTCACCATCCTATTGAGAGCAGTCTCCGTGCTGTGAGATGCTCTGATTGCAACTTCGCGGATTGCAACTTTTCTTGTAAGCAATGTTATTGAATATGCTCCATCAATCTCTTTTTGACAGCTTTTTCCAGTATCTTGGAGACAAATGGTAGGTTTAAGACCGGTCGGGAATTCTTCATGGTGTTAGGATCGAGTGTAGGTTTCTTTAGGAGGGGAAGGACAACAGCAGTTTTGAAATTCTCAGGAACTATACCACGTTCAAGGCTGCTGTTTACAATTTTGACAACTCTGTGAAGTTCTTCCTTGCATTCCATTAATAAGTACGTAAGACATGGGTCTAATGTGCACCACGTTGGCTTTGGGGAAGCAAGCATACCGGAGATCTTCTTAGCGAATGGTTTGAAGCTAGTAAGCTTAGTACCATCAAAATGAGAATGTGAAGACCGTGGCTCGTGATCTGGCTTGAGCTGTCTGATATTTTCAATCTTTTCAATGAGGAGTCTAGAAAAGTCATCAGCTAAGACAACATCAGATGATTTTCCAATCACAGTGTTTAAGTTTATGTACGGAGTGTGAAGGTGAAGGACAAACGTCAAGGTCAAATACTGCCTGTCGGAAACTGCCTGTGTGAGTTGGGTTTGAGAAAAATGTGAATTCTGTAGATACTCTATGGGTTTCAAATCTGTCTTGAGAACCATACAGGGAAGATCTGTGCACTGATTCCTTAGAAATGCTGCTTTAACACCTGTTGTATGCAGTGCATTATGTTGAAAGGTGAACATGATACACAATTCCACCAGTCAGTTAATACCATTTTTCACATCAATAATCGTTAATAATATATTTCATATCTTTGACGCCAGCTATATTATGAACCAGACAGTACTGGTAGGTCTCCCTTTTTCTGTAAGCTTGTCAACACCAAGGTCAGTTGTCTACACTGTAAAAATAACACCTCTAAAAGTCTGCCTGGTTTTTATGACCTACTGGATGAAAATTTGATGATAGACAATGACTAGGAGACCACATGCAATCACACATGTCACCAAGCTTTGACCACCTACATACAAGAACTGGTTGTTGGGGACCAAATCCATCTCAGAATCCCTTAAGCTCAACTAATGGTTGGTTTGTTGTTTAAGGCCATACTCAGCAATATTCACGCTATATGGCAGCAGTCTGTAAATAATCGAGTCAGGACCTGACAATCCAGTGATCAACAGCATGACCAACGATCTACGCAATTGGGATACAATATACATGTATCAGCTAAGATAGCAAGCCTGGGCAATTAAACTGATCCTGTTAGTTGCCTTTTACGAAAAGCATGTAATTTTCTGAATAAAATTGATATTTCGGAAGAGGGAGGAAACTCTTGGTGAGTACTATTTAGTGATTTTACATTGAAGGGAGCTTCAATTAGGGAGATACAAGTGTTCCACTATGCTCGCAAGAAGAAGAAGACAAGCAAAAGAGCATGAGTCAGGATAAGGAAAAATATAGGTTGCTGAAGACCAATTCTATCCAATTAGAATCTTCAACGGTGTGGCTGAACTAATGAAACACAGTATTTAACAATATAAGTAATAAACATTTTATTGTAATGAAATATGACATATACATGTTGTCCCAATAACAATGACATATATTTCTCTGATATTGTTTCTTACACACACATACATTTGACCACAGGGGACACGAACAAGTAAGAGCATGACCTCATGTGGGGAGTAGCACAGAGGGAATCAAACCAGCTCTCAGCTGTATTTCAGTGTATCACAACTGCATCAGCTTACATTAGACATAGCTTGAAGTGACACGGGTCTCACACTTCAGTTTGGTGAAACTAGGAAGCAAGAGTACATAATATTAATAAACCAAAGACCCAATAAAAGCCAAATTTTGATCACATCAAGATCAGGGGGCATTACTCTGCAAGGGGAATTCTTCAACAAGATCTTTGAAAGCATTATGAACTTGAATTAAATACTCAGGGTCTGTTGAAAATGTTCCACAGAAAAATGGTTCAGTGAATTAGCTGTGTTCCATATTCAAATTCTAAATCATTTTATCCCCATTTGCAGGACCATCAGACTCCTGGGCTGACTCACTCACATCAGCACCAAGTTGTGAGATGAGTTGTCACTGGCAGCACTGCTATAGCACCAACAACAAGTTATCACATAACAGGTTCAACTTTGCACGGACTTTCATTATAAAATATAAAATGATAAAAAAGAACTTAAGCCAAACATAAGAGGGATTCCACAATAAGTATTCCTGGCAACCAAAATTCACTGACAATAGTTCCTGACTTGGAGCAAAATATGGCCTCTGAGAAGTTCCAGATGAATCCCCAAATGGATTGTCCTCACAACATATTCATCAAAATATTGCATGTAACCTCAACAATTACATACACTTCTTGATATTTAAATTTGACCTAATGTAGAGTTTGCTGAAAGTCTTCAGCAGGTATCATTATACACAATGATGGAGTACTATGTGTGGTGCTTCCTCTTCCGATGATGAGATGAAGCTGCCTGGTCCTCTTGGGTGGCTTGAGTACTGTCAATGTCTGAAATAGATGTTGATATCTATATCATCAAAACACAGTTAATATTACTTGTGAAAATGGATCAGTTAAAATCTTTTCCATTGAAAGTAAGATTATTTCTGATCCTACAGAGGAAATTATAAGCCGAGTCTGTATAAACTTGTTACGAATCATAAAACCTGTTCCATAAAACAATTTTGGTTCTTAGTTGGTCATAACTCCCATACTACAACAAGACATGCGGCAATCGTAGCGTTAGGATCATTTTATGGAATGGGTCACCATTTCCCCCTGCAAGCAGCAAAGAAGATACAAGAATACATCCACAGCAACATGGAATCTACCTCTCTTAGGGATTTCATGAGTCCAGGCTGCACCACACTCCCGTGAGGGACACTTCTGAACTTCTCGGCGACTGAAGTAGCGGACAGCACAGTGGAAGTGGATCTTGATACCACACTCCTCACATGTCTGACCCTGTAGAGACAATAAAACCCTACATAAATAGTGGAAGACTGTAAATTGTGATATTAAAAATGTCTCCAAATTGATGCGACTGCTGACCCTTAGCCAAAAGGCAATTCAAGATTAATGCGACTTTCCCCTAGCCCAAGTGGAATTAAATGATGGAGCAACAGTTCACAGACTGGTATGTGGAGAAGTTGTCAACAAACTATAGAACAAACTTTATGGATAACAACAAACTAAAGGTGGACAACAACACAAGGCTGCGGAGACATGATATATGCAGTATTCTGCAGCTAAATTGAGTGGAGTCAGCTGCATCAAATGTTAAGCAGATATGCCCAAAATGACTAGAAATCAAACACATTTATTAACATGTTCATTGACTAAAACGTTGATAAGTGTTTCACAGAGATCCGGGTACATTTGGATGTCAGATCAGGTGCTTGAGGTGGGTGCTGAAACTCAATGATTTGTGCACTGGGGCATTGTCTTAATGGAAGAACACACCTATTCTCAGTATCCTACATCTCTAAGTCTAAGTTTCATCTGTATTTATGTAAAAGATGCAGCATAAAATGCTCCATTTACATATTTATCTGGAAGATGACACCATGACACCCACTTCTTCCCAGTACATAGAGAGCACAACATTTCCAGCTGATAAGACAATTCTGTTTTGAATATTGTTTGAATTAAGGCTTAAAGTGATGAACTCAAGATTTTATCAATAGTCCGAAATCCTAGTGAGAAACTTTCTTGATCAGCTTCAAACAGAGCTATGTAGAATATTATATGACATGATGCGCCTGGTGCAGTGTTTGAAATAAGTACTTGCCTGTAGGCATGCAGCTAGCTGATTGCATGTCAAGCCTGTAGCTATAAATTGGTATGGGTCATTATGACTTGCAGAAAATGTACATGTAGATTTGTTTCAATCAGCTTCAGCTTTTTAAGTGAGGGCTTGAAGAGTTTGTGTACATCCCTACAGTTTGCACAGTTTACAAAAGTCACAGACCCACGCTCATTTCGATGACTTTTTACAGCAAAACAATATGCTCAACAGACAGGTTATTGTGGAGACGCCTATGACACCATGTAATGTTCACAACCAAACATTGTTTTTATTTCCCAGTTCCTTCAATGGGAGTCTCAGAAGTTATCAGTGTATCAAGCCATGTATGACTCAGGAATTTGGGGTTGTGGTGTTACCAAACAGTGGAGAATGGAAATGAACATTATTATCATTGTAATTATCATGAGTTTTGGTTTTGGTTTACAGCGGTAGCAATATTCCAGCAACATCAGCAGAGTACCCATGTGCAAAGCATGGCGGTGCCAGCGCTTTAACCACTGGTAGTAACATTATAGTACAAGGGTACAGCCCGAGTACAGCCCTACAGCTATGATTGTAATTATCATGACAATATTATCAAGTACAGCCGGTGCTGCTGACCTTGAGACAGAGTTTATTGCACATGTTGCACATCTTCACATTGTCCACAAAGTATTCCTTGATGTACTGCTCCAGTTCCAGGACAGCTCGTGTGTGAAGTGAGACTCGACCAGCTTTCTGAAATACAATACAGTATTCATAATCTGGTTAGAATGGCATTACTTTTAACAGTTTGTACTTCTGATTACACATGAGAGTAATGAGGGTTGACATATCACTATCATTGACAAGTCTCATTTTATATCTAATACTTTATTCATATGTTTAAAAACACCAAAGAGATTTTTCAATTCAAGATGCAACATTGTTGACTGATGCCAGAAATATTGACAAGTCAGTGATCAGGCTCACACTAAACACAGCTGACAAGGGATACTGTGACAGGTACTTGATTCTGTGTGTACCAGCTACATAACACAGAACTTGGACTACAACAGCTTGTAACATGGAGATTTGGCTTTTCCTTGTTCCTGTACTAAAGGGGCAGTTGGGTATCCTAATGGTTGATGCGTTCGCTCATCCCACTGAAGACCCTGGTTTGATTCCCCACATGGGTACAATGACTGAAGCCAATTTCTGGTGTCTTCCGCCATGATATTGCTGGAATATTGCTAAAAGGGGCATCCATTTCTACCTGCAATATTCAAACACACACTTAAACTTCGTACCTGAGAATTCCGAACATGTTCATACATTTCCTGAGAAATTTCTTTATGTCAACCACTTGCTTTGTACCTGAGATATCCACTGGTCTCTGCTCATACGGTCAAGCAGATCCTGAGCATCATTCTTTGAGATCTTCTTCTCCAGCTTCTCAGTCAAGTTCAGAGTCTCGATGGAGCCAACAGTACCATCCTCTGACTCAACTACCAGCTCTACCTGACACAGAAGTATTCACCTGGGATTAACCTATATCTCAATATAGTCCTGAGGATCTTGCTTATACACTTTGGGAGAACAATGACAATAAATGGAGATCCCTGAGTAATTACTGTACCAACAGCAAATCAGGGCTCCAGATAATTTTTCAACATCAGGAGTACGTACTCCTTATTTCTTCAATATAGGAGTACTGGAAAAACTTAAGAGTACTGAATGGAAATTAGTGATCAGTATTCTTGTGTTTCGTTTGGTATATGCACCACAACATTGCTACTCTTGTGTAAACAGGTCAAAAAACAATAAAACAATACTTTTTCATATAAATACGTCTGTAAATGATTCGTACACTATTGCTGGGGTGCGTATCTGCTACGTTTTCAAAATTATTTCCTACCATATCATGCATATTTTTTATCCGTACATACGTGGATATGGCCCTTATCTGGAGCCCTGAGCAAATACATGTACAGCCCAAAGTAAGAGTGATGCCATACAGATTGTGAGTGAGTTTAGTTTTACACCGCACTCAGCAATATTCCAGCTATATGGCGGATGCCTTACACATTTCATAGATGTCAACTTCCTTGTTTGAACTGGAGCTTAGCAATTAAATGTAGAAAATCTAAACAGACAGTCCAGATACTGAAAGTGTTTCTAAACAAAACAGAAACATAAGATCAATCACTAACTACAAGCCTCAATTTTATTAGGCTCAATAATAATAAACACCATACTCTTTTGCTTCTAAATAATGTTTGTATCTAAATTTGTATCTTAATTATTATGTAAACAGAAGAGAATAAAACCCGTAATCATTTCTTTTCTCAAAGACCACATTTCATGTGTTTGTAACAAACATACACAGAACTTTACATCTAGTTGCCTACCAAAAGTATAATACTTACCAGCTTTTTGAAGAATTCTAGCTCATTTTGGTTGTAGTCTGAAGCCATCTTGGTGATGTCCGTGCTGCTAATATTTACCTGGAAAACATAATGTCACACATTCCTTCACAATACTGACTCCAACAAGAGAAGTCGCTTCAGGATTATCCTATCAACCAATTAAAATAACTTGCATATCATGTCAAGGATAGCAAATAGTTAGCGAGGACCTTAACCACAATAACTCTGACCAGTTCTGAAATTATCGATGTTAAGAAAGGAACTCCATAAAAGGCGTCTAGAAGTTGGTGTGACGAACATGGGAAATAATTCTATGTATATACAACTTCACTATTATAGTGAATGTGACATTTCGGTGTAGATGCCTAACAACATTAGGAAACAAGGGATGTGACATGACTTATTTCATAACAGTCTCTGTATCTAAATTGAAACATTGCCATTACTGTAGAAAAGGTGTACAGTCATAGAATTATCTCCCTTGTTCAAAAGACGATTGAATGGAAAAGAATTGTATACTTTTGTGTGCAAAAAGAAAAATAAGCAACATTCACAATCACCAAGCATGAAATCAACATGGTAAGGCATCAAACAAAGATGGCACTATGTCAGTATTGCACCAAATGATGTGTGGTTAAAACAACTAATTTACTTTGATGATTTCCATTGGCACATTAGTTCAAATTCAAGCAATTTTCTCTCCTAACTGAATCTGTTATAAACAAAAAAATCCCACTCATCAGTCATTATTAAGTCGGAATAGAGTAAAAAATGGTCAACAAGATGAATAAACATGATAAAAAAACACATTATCAGCGAGACCTACCAGTCCATAGTGGTTAGACCCATCATCTTCACTAATGGCTTTCTTTATCTCCATGTGAAATGGGTGTATATTGGCATTGATGATCCTCACAAACTCAAACAGACGCTTCTTGGCATCGGGGTCATCTTCTGAGATGCTAACTGTCATGATAAATTGGGTGTAACAAGTTGAAATTTACCATGCCAACAAAAACATTGTACCGGTACACATGCATAGATGCACCAGTGACTACGAGTGATACATGTGATAACAAGCTGAAATTGAAATTACCACCCAATTAAACATTTCTGCTTTGTCACTACTTTGAATTCTTTATGTTTCATCACAGGTCTATTTGTGATTATCCTTGGATATGAACATGCATGTTATGAAGTGAAAGACATTGATGATTCCACTGACTGATATCGAAACTTAGAAACTATTGGTCATATTTTCATGGTATTGTTGATTACAGACCTGAGTATTTGTCACAACATTGTTTGAACAACTGTTTCACTTCCTTGGCATTGAGCAGACCCTGCGACATAAACTTCTGCAGGAACATCCGATGACAGTCATTCATGTCTCCCATGTTTGTGCTCCGTAGCAAGTATAGGCTGTCTGTTGGGAATCAATAGTCTGTAACAATTCAACGGCAAACATGTACTGAATGTGAAAGTGTTGTGTAATCTGCCTTATTTGAATATCATAAAACACAACTTCATCTAGCTGTGGTACCTGTATCTGCTGTGGCTATAATGATTTTGATATTGACTTATTTCTACACAGAGTTGCAGGCAGTCCTATCTAGTGTTTTCCTGACACGTCCCCAATGCAAATGTACATCACAATACATATAGTGAACGTATTGAGATCTAATGACAAATCCAGCATGAATCTCTTCCCAAGACATTTACCTTCAAATAAGTTCAAACACAAGTATTTACTTCTTACATCTTGTAACAATATAGATCTACATGATATATTTACATTAATGATTTCAACATGATCAAGTTAAAAACCAAACCAGTCAATATTTCCTAAGCACCATTCTGCTCAGCATTGAAAAACAAACATTAATTCTGTCTCAATAATTAAAATACCCAATAAGGACATAGAAAGTTGCGTGTTAAAAAAGTACTCATATCTGAGGCCTAGTGTCATAGCAATTGAAGTATTTTGCATTTGTCATTTGATAACGACCCATGCAGACTTGGATCGGGAATCTATAAAACACCATGGCTAGTCCCTTGACTGAGAAGGATATGAGTTAACAAGTGAGAGAAAGTATCATCATTATGTCCGTACATTTCAGATTCGCGCCATGTTTGTTTTCTATATAATCTCCTGAACACGATCCAAAGTGTCTTACGACATGCAAAGCATTTACGACTATGCCTGTTTCAATGTGTTATTTCTACAATCTTGATATATTAATAATATGTCTTTTTGTAGCTAAATATGTTCAAAATGACTGACTGCGGGTACTGCATGGCGTCTGACATATATTATTGATTCTGTCGTGAGATTAAAAACAAAATGGCGACTTTGAAACACGTGAAAACTAACTCTAAGTGGGAAAAGGTCGAAATAAGCCCTGTGCTATTTTCGAACAAAGATTTTGAAAGTTTGATATCTATTGAGGAACTTAAAGACTACGAACTCGTGGAAGCTAATGCTGGTCAGGTCAGTACAATCGTATATTTCTTTCAGTTAGTTTAATCGTCCGGTTTTCGTTCGTCGCAAGACCGACCACGGTGTTGCAGATGTGACTCTGGTCCATAGCCAGAGTACAGTATAAATTCTTTCGATCTAGAAATCCTTGTTAATCCACACATTAACAATAACATGAACTATAAAGCAGGGATTTACCTTGAGGGTCCACGAATCAAGGTTACGCGAGTGTAGTTTTCAGGGGTCCCAGACAGTTAAATATTATTATTAATACTATGTTGTAATATTGTAATTCAGTTACTGTTATTGTATTGTGTATCATGATCGTCACATTGTTACAGTGATTAAATTGCAAATGATACCATAGCCCGGATAGTAGCAGACTCAGTGATCAACTTATTGTTACTTGATCAAAATCTTTACAAAAAGTATTTCGACTTTTTCTCTGTTACGGAAAGAACCAACCCGTCTTAATTTGTGAACTGCTTGTCTAGATGTCAATAAACACTCAATTATTACACGCTAATTGCTCTTGGCTGTCACACATAATGATACATTGTGTACATAACCTACTATGTTATCCACAAATCAAAAAGGGATGCTTTCGGCAGAGACCATATACCGGTATATGGTCTCTGCTTTCGGTAAAAAAAAATAGAAATTCAGTCATGAGTGGAATCTTGTCAATATTTTATAGATGAATTAAATGATGGTTAAAGATACAAAATGTAGTTGTACAAATTTTAGTGCACTTTCTTTTTGTCCACAAACCAGGATGCATGAGGGTATATTTGCATGTATTCACCAAACCTACAGTTTATACTTCACACATCCAGTGACATGTGACAAAAAATGTTTATATTGCGTAATATATGGATGAATGATATTTTTGAAAAGATAATGTGCAGGTGTGTCTTTACGAGTCTTTACCAAGTAAGGAATCTGACTCCCTTTCCCAATTTGGATTCCTTTTTTCAAAAGTGAAATAGTGTGTCCTTTTGGCACGGGGCCATTTTAGCATGTTACATTACGGGTTCCCAACTTCACATTTGTCTTCTAATTCTAGACAGTGGATGATGATGCATCACAAACAACAGCAGAAGTGGAAAATAGAAACAAAACAAAGAAAAGGAAGAAAAAGAAGAAAAAACAAGAGACACCTCCTTCAGACACTGTTCCAGTGCAGTCTAAGGAGGAGGTATCTGAAGCTATAAATGCGGAGAATCCAAAAAAGGCAAAGAAAACAAAAAAGAAGAAACCCTTAAAGAAAGATGAACAAAAGAAAGGACTGACTTTGAAGAGGAAGCATGGAAAGATGTTGATGCTTGACAGCCAGGATATAGTTGACTTGAATGAGAATGAGGAAACATCATCAGAAGCAAAATCAAAAGAAAGAGCTGAAAAAGGTATGCATTCTTTCATGAGGAAGTTACAGAATTGCTAATTCCTGTAGTAGGAACTGTTCAGCAAACTTATTGAGTAGCATGTGTCAGAATAGTGCTGGGTTCTCAAGGATTTATCTGAGATATCAAACAAAAAGCCCTTGAATTGTAAGTTTGGGAGATTATAGTTATTTTGCTGAGCTTGTGTTTTTTACAAACATGACATAAGTTCATTTATGTTCTTATTCATCAGACCAAGGAGAAGGACCAAAGCCAAAGAAGGCAAAGACAAAAGGAGAGAAGCTGACGCAACACACAAGTCCCTCTGTCTCAGCAGGTATGGCATTTATCATCCAACATTATCAGCTGTCTTCCACACAAAAGGTTCAACATTACACATGTTTTAAGGGCCATGCAGGGAAAACTCAAAGTTCCTATATTACCCATTGTCGTTCTTAGTAATGTCAGGCTCATCAGTTTCAGTTGCTGTTACTATACGAGTTGTGTCCCTTGATAACAGCTTGTTGATTGGAATTTGCCAAGATAATGATCCTTTGTCAGCTCCAGACTCTGCTATCTTCCACACAAAAGGTTCAACTGTAAACAAGTGACATGTTTTATGGGCCATGCAGGGAATACTCATAGTTGCTGTATGATCCTTTTTTCTATTTCTTAGTAATGTCAGGCCCATCATAAGACTAACACTTGTTCTCTGAATATATAATTTTGGTAGAAACAAATAATTCCTTTAAAATTGAAAAGGAGCCCCAGTGAGATGGGAGGTTCAGAGGAAATCTAGATTTGCTTTACTTAGGGCTTTAGCATTGCAGAAGGGGCTAGTATAGGCAGAGGACGACAAGCCCATCATTTTCAGCTGCTGTTACTATATGTGCTGAGTTGTGTCCCTTGGTAGCAGTGATCAGCTTGTTGTTGATTGGAATTCACCCAAATGATGATACTTTGCCAGCACCAGGCTCTGCTGTTTCACTGGTCAAAGTCTATAACATGCATCACTATTAAAACCAAACTCACTCTTTGGTGGACCCATGAAGATTTGGGTAAGAATTGGTCATCAGCAATCCATGCTTGTCATTAAAGATGACATATGGGATCAGGCTTGCTGTCTTGGTTGACGCATGTCATCATATCCCAGTTGTGTAGATCAATGCTCATGATGTCAATCACTGGATTGTCTGGTCCATACTCGATTATTTACAGACCATTGTTCGCGGTAGGAAAAAAAGATTTGCATTCTTAAAAACATAACCCTTGGAATTTGCATTCTTCCCCAAAACACATAACCCTTATTGGAATCTTGTGTGTCAGTCAGTCAGTTGTGCCCAAGCCATGAAGGGGCAAGGTCTCTAGGGAGTTCAAGAGAGCTTTACTAAGTTTAGTCAACATGCATTTTATGTAAATTTACCAGTATACGATGAATCATGATGTGGTCAATTTAGGAGATAAACATCATGTGTTGGCCAATTTCCGGGTGTTATGGAGTATTTGAAGCACGGGGAATTCATTTGGAACCGACGGCGTTTCAAATGAAATATTCCCGATGCTTCAAATACTCAATATTACCCGAAATTGGCCAACACATGATGTTTATCGACATTAATAAACCAAAAGGTGCATACACGATTTTGTGTCTGCACTCATTGACATTGAGTACAGGTACAGCAGTGAAATGTCATCAGCCGGCCGTTTCGGCTGTCTCCCATGGTAGCATCTGTAACGGCTCATTTGTGACGTCATTTGGACTTTACGTCACAATATGATTTGAATGACGTCATCACAGCTGACGACGTAACAATACAATGGTGTGAGCGATGTTTGCATGTATTAATTACGCAGCGAATTTCCAGGAATCGAATACCATTTGATCATGTTTTTCAACCAATCAGATTAAAGAACACAGTGACTTTTGGTTTACAATGCTTTTTACAGAAACATGATTTGAACACCCATTGTATTGGAAAAGTCAATATAATCATAATAATGTCAATATTTTCACCAGACATGAGTGCTTGGAAGAATCTGTTTGTGCCCAACCAAGTCCTGAAAGCTCTAGAACATCAAGGCTTCACATCTCCGACCTCCATACAGGCACTGGCACTTCCATCAGCCATCAGGGACAGGATGGACATTGTTGGCGCCGCAGAAACGGTCAGCTCGTAGATCTTTGTCCCACACTGAGAAACTGTTATTGTAATCTTAAGTCCACCTTTGCCTTTGAATTTTTCAGTTGAAATAAATGCATCACTAAGAGTATAAAAATGTTTAAATGTATTTTTGTGGCAATAACGTGATGCGCATGATAAGGGATATGTTTTAATCCATTTGTTCAAATTAAATCTGAATTGTTTCTGACCAAAGTTCTGTATATGTTCAGGGAAGTGGGAAAACATTGGCGTTTGGCATCCCAGTGCTGCACCACATCTTACAGTATGAAGAACGCAAACAGCAGCAACAAGGTCCGTAGTCTGTGTTATGTCACTGAGTTGAAATATTGAATCCACAGTACCTCTGCCATGTAGTTCTCGTTGACAAGTACAAACTTTGATAAGGTTCAAAGTCATATGAAGATTTAGGAGAAAGACAAAAGTGTGTATCTTTAAACAAGTGGAAATGGTGCATCTTCATGAAATCATGTTCAGTACCTTGTTTATGTCCACGAAGCCATGATGTCACAAATCATTTGTGTTGTTCCTGCCTGGAAATGGAAGCATCACTGACACCTTGGGGAACCCATTATTTCTCCATTAAGGTAATCCAGTGTAACATTGTGTGAGCAATTTGCTGTGCTCTTTCATAAAGATACTCAAAATTGTTGTCAAAAAATGTAAAAGGGCTGTCCTAGAAATCATGGAATTTGAAAAAACGTATGTACTGTTACGTCTTTTGAAGGTGTTGAAGAGGAGGAGGAGGCAGGTGAAGGAAGAGATTCATCATCAGATGAAAGTGAGGCTGATGTGACAGTTGAGGCCGAGGTGGATGAAGAAGACGATGATGATGATGAGGAGGAGGATAGTGAGGAGGAGGAGGAGGAGGAGGTAGTGGAGGAGGAGGATAAAGGCGGAAATGAAGGAAGTGACAGTGGTGTTCAAGAAGACCTTGACCTTTCTGATGATGAAGATGGCGATTATGATCTTCCTCCAGATGAAGAAGATATACTTGAACTTGAAGTCAGTTAATTTTTACTTAAAATTGTTGATGAGTGATTGAATTCATTGTGGAACTTCCTGCTTATTGGAATATATGACTAGAATAATTTTTTTGCATTTCCTTAACTAAACACATTCATTTGAAGTTACTGTATGTGCATAAATAGCCAAAACATTTCTGGCACTATCAATAAACACAAACCCCACCCCGCATGTTGTAAGCTTTTCCATGCTTGTTTTGTAGGGTGATGAGACTGGTTGTGTGAGAGTGGTCAATAACATTGAATTTGATGCTGCTGACCGTGAGAAGGTGAAGGCCGCCTCCAAGGGAAACAAACCTCTGATAGCATTAATACTGGAGCCGACACGAGAGTTGGCGATCCAGGTGAAGAACCACTTGATGGCGGCTGCCAAGTACACAGATATCAGGGTATGTATGCCAAGGTAGAAGATGGTTTGAGGGAGTGAGTGAGTGATCGCTTTAACCACTAGGCTACCCCACCGCCCTGAAACTGCCTCCGTGGTGTAGTGGTTAGAGCGCCCGCCTGGAGAGCAGAAGGTCGCGAGTTTGATCCCCGGCCGCTTCATACCAAAAGAAGTTAAAATATGGTACTTGTTGGTCCCTGTCTGACGCTCAGCATTAATGGGTACAACAAGGACTGGTCGGCTCGGAGTCAGTATAATGTGTCTGAGTGGGGTATTCATGCTTCACTGCGGCATGGTATCTCAGTGGGCTAGCACTATAAAACCAGCTTCAGTCTGGGCTAGTACCTAAAGCCACACATACACACGCATGCACGTGCACGCCGTCATATGAGCCAAATATTCCTCGGCACGTGCACGCAAACTCAATTTCACCTCACCTCACCTCACCTCACCTCACCGCACCTGAAGAAGATGGTTTGAGGTCTTAAGGATCTAAGGACAACTGGAAAGGTTTTTTTTCAGTTTAATGAGGGTTTGTATGTATTACATTTAGCATCCATTTGGATAATTAAGGGATCTGTTGAGTGTGCAGGGTGGTGAAGTAACACAGTGGTTATGGTGATACCTTGGTCAAAAGCTTCCTAAAACCCACTTTAGTGGGTAAACTTGGACTGAACTTGAGAACAGTGTTTGTGAATCCATACATTATGAATATCATTAACACACTGTCAGATGATGATGAACGAGGTACTGACAATGTCAGATGATATGATTGCTAATTGTAACCAAAATGTGATTAAGATCTGTTAAGGTCACATGAGTGTGAAAATTATCTCCCTTAGATTGCAACGGTTGTTGGTGGAATGGCTGCCCAGAAACAACAGCGAGTGCTCAAACAGTGCCCAGAGATCGTCATAGCGACACCAGGACGGCTGTGGGAACTCATACAACAGGTAAGGTGTCCAGCAGTGGTCAGTGTTGAAGGAAAAAACAATCCCAGTCCTATTTATGTACTCAATTTTTCATTATATGTTGAATGCTAAAGCTGGATGTTTTTTGCCATAATCATAGTTGGATATACAGCTTGTGCTAATTCTGATCACATGAAATACCCATGTTCCATTTTTGAAACTATTGTTCAGAGCTTCAGACAAATGGTCAGAGCATCTATCAAACATAATATCAGAGTTATCTCCCTTGGTTTCAGGGTGATCCTCACCTGGCTAAGGTGACTGGCATCCACAAGTTGGTGATTGACGAGGCTGACCGCATGGTGGAGAAAGGTCACTTTGAGGAGTTGACCCACCTGTTGGCAATGATCAATGTGTGAGTGAAAATTGTCAAAACTCAGGATATATGGAGGACTTCTCAATCAGGAAAACATTTTCCTGCTAATTTAGAGCTATGACTGACATGACATTAAACACATAGAGTTTCAGAGTTATAGCACTTGTGATATAGGACTGAGATCCTCTTAATGTACTTAATGACTTCACATTTTTAGCAACATATCTGATCTTTACTCATGTGAATCAAATTCATCTTTTAGAGATGAAAACCGGAAGCGTCTCCGCCAGACGTTTGTGTTTTCTGCCACCCTGACCATGCTCCACAGTGGACCCCAGAGACGACTCAAGAAGAAGAAGAAGGAAAAAATGGACACCAAGAAAAAATTAGGTGAGCATGTTCATGATTTACTTGTTCTCAAACTGAGAAACCACAACAGTTAAATCATAATGTGACCGTCAAAAGCCATTGCAGTAAAGTTGATATATGATGCATAATTAGATATTCTTCACTTCCTCACATGATCTTGTCATTCCTGTTGTCCTGTGTCCAACCCCCATGAAAATTTCAACTGCTGTAACCTGTGGTGGTCAACTTACTGATCAGGTGATTACTCGGTGACTTGGTTATAGTATGTCACCTACCGTGTCCGCATTGCGCATTGTTCACAATATTAATCACATGATTGGTTGGTCCAGATTATTTGACCTATGAAGGTCCGGGTTAGAATATTGATCTTCAGTAACCCATGCTTGTTGTAAGAGGCAACTAATGGGATCGGGTGGTCAGACTTGCTGACTTGGTTTACACATGTCATCGGTTCCCAATTGTGCAGATCGATGCTCATGCTGTTGATCACTGGATTGTCTGGTCCAGACTCGATTATTTACAGACCGCCGCCATATAGCTTGAATAATGCGGAGTGCGGCATAAAACTAAACTCACTCACTCACTCCACATTATTTACAGGCTGGAATATTACTGGTATCCTACAAACAAACGTTTGTTAGAGTATTATTAATGTGACGCTGTTGACCAACAGAGCTGCTGATGAGCACCATCGGTATCAAGGACCGCCCCAAGATTATCGATCTGACAACCAGGACCGGGACAGCGGAGACTCTGACTGAAGCTAGGATTAACTGTACAGTAGACGAGAAGGTGAGATTTGTTTCCAGTCAACAGAAAGGTGAGATTGGCTTGCACCAGTGGGGAGTTGTATTGAAATTCACGCTGTTGTACTGTAGTTGTGATGACTTATCCAGGAGTATAGGCATAACGACAGACTCATAGGGGACTGGGACAGGTTGAGGACCCCATGGTTATATAGCAGATAAAACTAAAGTTGGTTACATTATGACTTGGTTAGTACTACTGTCCAGCAGTTGTATGTATGGCAGTGTAGCTCTGTCATGCCTCTGTTCCTAGGACCTGTAGGACATATTGGTTAGTACTGTCCAGCAATTGTATGTATGGCAGTGTATCTGGCGGTCTTGCCTCTCTGTCCCTAGGACCTGTAGGACATATTGCTTCATACTGTCCAGCAATTGTATGCATGGCAGTGTAGCTGTCTCTGTTCCTAGGATTGGTTAGTACTGTCCAGCAATTGTATGTATGGCAGTGTATCTGACGGTCTTGCCTCTCTTCCTAGGACCTGTAGGACATATTGGTTAGTACTGTCCAGCAGCAATCTGGCAGGGACCTGTTGCCTCTTGCCTCTCTGTCCCTAGGACCTGTAGGACATATTGGTTAGTACTGTCGAGCAATGGTATGTATGACAGTATTGGTCTTGCCTCTGTCCACCTGCATATTGTATGTACTGCCCAGCAATTGTATGTATCAGTGTATGACGGTCTTGCCTCTCTGTCCCTAGGACCTGTAGGACATATTGGTTAGTACTGTCCAGCAATTGTATGTATGTCATGTATCCCTAGGGACCTGTAGGACATATTGCAGTGTATCTGACGGTCTTGCCTCTGTCCCTAGGACCTGTAGGACATATTGGTTAGTACTGTCCAGCAATCTTGCCTCTCTGTCCCTAGGACCTGTAGGACATATTGTCCAGCAATTGTATGGCAAGTGTATCTGACGGTCTTGCTCTCTGTCCCTACCTGTAGGACATATTGGCTATACTGTCCAGTGTAGCTCTCTGTCCCTAGGACCTGTAGGACATATTGGTTAGTACAGCAATGTATGTATATAGCCTGACTCTGTCTTGCCTCTGTCCCTAGGACCTGTAGGACATATTGGTTCATACTGTCCAGCAATTGTATGTATAGCAGGTATCTGACGGTCTTGCCTCTCTGTCCCTAGGACCTGTAGGACATATTGGTTAGTACTGTCCAGCAATGGTATGTATGACAGTGTATCTCTGACGGTCTTGCCTCTCTGTCCCTAGGACCTGTAGGACATATTGGTTAGTACTGTCCAGCAATTGTATGTATAGCAGTGTATCTGACGGTCTTGCTTCTCTGTCCCTAGGACCTGTAGGACATATTGGTTAGTACTGTCCAGCAATTGTATGTATAGGCAGTGTATCTGACGGTCTTGCCTCTCTCTGTCCCTAGGACCTGTAGGACATATTGGTTAGTACTGTCCAGCAATTGTATGTATAGCAGTGTATCTGACGGTCTTGCCTCTCTGTCCCTAGGACCTGTAGGACATATTGGTTAGTACTGTCCAGCAATTGTATGTATAGCAGTGTATCTGACGGTCTTGCCTCTCTGTCCCTAGGACCTGTAGGACATATTGGTTAGTACTGTCCAGCAATTGTATGTATAGTAGTGTATCTGACGGTCTTGCCTCTGTTCCTAGGACCTGTAGGACATATTGGTTCGTACTGTCCAGCAATTGTATGTATGGCAGTGTATCTCACGGTCTTGCCTCTCTGCCCCCAGGACCTGTATCTGTACTACTTCCTGAAGCAGTACCCTGGTCGGACGCTGGTGTTCACCAACAGCAAGGACTGTATCCGCCGTCTCATGTCCATCTTCACGCTGCTCAAGTGCTGCCCTCTACCTCTCCACTCAGACATGCATCAGCGACAGAGGCTCAAAAACCTGGATAAGTTTTCAGGTAAGTGGCCAGACGCTTTAACAGTATTTCAGTTTTATAGAAAAAAATGGAAAAAAATTTAAACCAGTTAAAACAGTTGTGCAATGTTTCTGGAGGAATGTTTTCATCTTCATGTGTTGCTGTCATGATTGGTCAGTGAGAAAAAAATAAACAGTAACAATGTCCAAGTAAATTGTCAGCCATGTTGCTACTTTTCCACATGACCAATGTGAATAATCAGGATAATTATGTGACACCTACATGACACCTGACTGGTTCACAATGTGCCTATCCTTGCAGCCAACGAGAATGGCTTCTTGATAGCCTCTGATGTAGCTGCCCGGGGCCTAGACATCCCCAATGTACAACACGTGATCCATTTCCAGGTGCCCCGCACTGTAGAGGTATAGTAACTGCTTGTATTCACAGGAGTGGGTGGGTGGGTGTGTTTAGTGTTGTTCTAACAAGTACTGTTACATTTCAATGTGGGAGGACAGCCCAGGGTGATGCACGTTCCAAGTGTGTAAAACACAGACATTAGTATTTGTCAGCCAGCACTACATACAGTCATTCATAACCGTAGTCAACCATTATCACAGTCAATCTTACCCACCCCAGTCAATCAAAAATCTAGTAACATAATCAAGGCAGATCAAGATTTGAACGTAAAGTCATAGGTTTCTGGCATGCCAAAGGATGCAGGTCGAGAAGTTTGGTATCTCAGACAACACTGCGGCGAGTGCCTCTGATATGTTTGTAAATAGTTTGAGATATGTTTTGTGTTTTCAGTATTAATTGTGTATGATGTTTTACTGTACTCTTTAATCAGACTCCTTATCCATTAAATACGCAGTGAAACATGTTCAAGTGACAGCATGTCCACACGCATCCTAATCTACTGTCACCTGCAATGACGAGGTACCGGTACATTTTGTGACCCTCTCATTGTATCCTCCCTCCCACAGAACTACGTACACCGCAGTGGCCGTACAGCTCGTGCCATGAAGGAGGGACTGAGTGTCATGCTGGTCGGCCCCGAGGACGTGCGCAACTACAGGAAGATCATACAGTCCCTCAATAGAAGTGAGTCAAAATATTGGGAAGAGCAGGTCACTATACTTCCTCACTGACATTTGTATCGACTTGTTTATCGACAGGTCCCTGACCATGAGCCCAATGCCATATGTAGGATTCCCCTACATCACAGACAGGATTTCCCAATGTTATGACAACTATTTCCTTGTGTGACTGCCAGACATTACTAATGTCATGATAATGACTTCTCTGTCACAGAAGGGGCAGTGGGGTAGCCTAGTGGTTAAAGTGTTCACTCATCACGCTGAAGACCCGGGTTCGATTCCCCACATGGGTATTATGTGTGAAGCCCATTCCTTGTGTCCCCTGCAGTGATATTTCTGGAATATTGCTAAAAGCAGCTTAAACTAAACTCACTCACTCTGTGATAGACACGATTCTTCTGTGTCACAGGTAAGATTTCCCTATATCATGACAAGGATTTCCGTGGGTCATAGCTTGGCTTTACTAATGCAACAACAAGAATTCACTGGATTCACCCCTGCTATATGACAACACTTAAGGACCATGAAAGTAAGCTGTAAATCTTTTTGCAATGGACTATTTGAAGACAAATTTACTTTTTCAGATAGTTTTATGTTTGATCACTCATCAGTCGATTTTGTCATCGTGAGTTTGTTGTTGCTTACAAATGAGGGGTCTCTGTAACATGGGAGGTAACTGCTGTATGTGTCTACATTAGATGAGGACCTGCCCCTGTTTCCTGTGGAGTTCCACACGATCACCTCCGTGAGAAATGTCATCTCACTGGCCCGGCAGATCGACACTGAAGACCACAGGTGGGCTGTAACCTGCACAGCACTGCACGAGATAACATACCAGGCACCATAACAACACAACATGAGACACCATAACAACACAACATCAGACACCATAACAACACAACATCAGACACCATAACACAGCGCAGCATAAACACCTACCAAACAAAGTAACATTGAACTCTTTCACTCCCTTGCACAAAATTCACTTTCTTGTGAAACTTTACTTTAGCTTGGAGAAAATTTAAGATTTGTGTCTTTTGTTCATCCCCTTCAATCTCTCCAGTCATAGTTGTTTGTTGTGTTAAATGATAGACTGAGTTCTGTGATACAGATTCAAAAAGAAGAAGCGGAAGAATGACTGGTTCGTGAAGGCAGCAGAGGAGATTGACATGATGCTGGACGAGCGAGCGTATCCTTATGTGTGGCAGAATTGTCCTTCAGAAGAAAAATACTGCCATGTTTTCAAACCAGCCAAAAGTATTCTATGCTCAGTTACCTCTGCTGGTTGTCAGAAGCGAGGTGGACGGGTGGTGGTTTGGTTGGGGTCAGATTATGTCACTTGTGAAGATCGTTGTCCATAATTTCAATCACTACACACTTGTGGTCCAGACTTGACTCTTTACAGACCACCGTTTTCAATTGCAACCATTAAACAACAGCCAATAAGTAATGCTGGTCCGTGACTGTGAAATCAGACACCTGACAGAATGTTAATTGCTTTCGAAACATTCAGGTTTTACTCTCTTGACATCTTACATACATAACTCTTATTCATTTGAAATACAGTTCCATTTGTGGTGAGTTTTAGGAAACTTTAATGTGTGTGTTATATGCTTAAAACCTTTTGGATGGAAATGTCCTTGACCTTTGTCCTAGCCTTGAGGACCCAAGTGACTCAGTAGAGCAGCAGAAACACAAGCAGAAGCAGCAGATGATGAAAGCACAGCTGGATGTCATGTTGAAACGACCACTCACTCAGAAGCTGTTCTCAGGGAAATACCCTACCAAGATGGGCAGGTTGATAGCACCAGAACACCCACAGGGTGAGTTGCCATGGTAACATTAATGATGAAGATGGGGGAAACTATTAGTAAAAGGTGTGAGCTCAGACATCAGCACAGTATGTCTCCTTGACAGCAGCATCGTTCTACATTTGGCTGTTCAAAATCATGCTACTAGAAAACAGTTCAGGACCTCCCCATTCGTTCATGTTACATTTGATACATTTCTCTTCTCAGGAGGTTTGTTAGGGACCGTTCATAATTTATGGCTAGGGGGGTGATGCTGATTTTAATGGTGAAGCATGTACAATGTGAATGAACCCCACCCCCCTAAAATTTATGTACAAAGTAAGTGACCCCCTCCTGCTTGTCATGTTCAAACTCAATGACCCCCACCCCTTTCCATATTTTTAAAGCCTAATTTTTAAATATTTTTAGGTACAAAATTGCTGACCCCCACTAGAAACGTGTACAAAATTGATGACCCCTCCCCTACCTCCCCAGAACAAATTGGTTGACCCCCTCTTAAAATCATCATACACACCCACACACACACACACACCACACACACCATAAATAAATTATGAACGGTCCCTTACATTTAAAGTCTTATCTCGGATAATTAAGGTTTGTTACGTTACTTTTCTCAACCAATGGAGATTTGATATATATATTATTCCAGATAATGATGCGATCCAGAAGATGAAGCGTGATGAGCCGGCCCAGAAGGAGATGATGCAGTATGTGGCAGCACATCCCAAGGTCATCAAGAAGAAACGTGAGAACAGGAAGACGAGGAAGAATGAAAAGAGGAAGAAGAAAAAGATGAAAATGATGACAGGATGAATGAAATCCAAACTTTGATACAGAAATGTATTTAAATCTGTTTGATATGATGTACATAGATTGTGAAATGTTTCTTTATGTACAAATACAACTCTTGAACTGTGCACGTTTGTTGAGATTGCTGTTGCACTTATGAAACTGGCCATGGACGGCAGACCAAATCTTATGCCAATTTGGCCAGTGTATCAGTTACCACTTGGCTTATCAAAGCCATTACTGACCTCGCTTGGCCCATGGAGGCAAGATGTAGGCCTACAACACCTCAAATAGGTGAGGTGAGGTGAAATTGGGTTTAACGTCGTACTTGAGAATATTTCGCTCATATGACGACGTGCATGCGTGTGTATGTGTATGTGCGGCTGCTTGTACTAGCCCAGACTTAAGCTGGCTTTATAGTGCTAGCACACTGAGATACCATGCCGCAGTGAAGCATGAATACCCCACACAGACAAATTATACTGACTCCGAGCAGACCAGTCCTTGTACCCATTAATGCGAGCGCCAGGCAGGGACCAACAAGTACCATATTTTTAACGTCGGGGATCGAACCCGCGACCTTCCGCTCTCCGGGCGGACGCTCTAACCACTACACCACGGAGGCGGTCACCTCAAATAGGGGTGTGTTACTTAGTCACCCCTGCTCAAAAGGTATGGTGTGGCCCCTGGTAACCCTGCCATGTGTAGTGGAATGAGCTTGGCCCTTTCTTCATGCTCATAACCAGCATGTCCTCACACATTACCTGACTGATGCAGCTCAAGCGTAGCATGAAGTCTCATGCTGTTCAAATCACTGGGATCATGTAGTATACATCTCTCAATATATGTGAAGTTTTATAAATTTCTTCTTAGGAGGCACTGGATACAAGGGTTAACTTTGAAAGTGTAACCATAAGAACTTCATTTCATATTCAAGGAATTACTATTTCACTATTAATTGTTCTCATGCTTTAAAAGAAGCAACACATTTTTATTAATGAGTAGAATCTCGTAGACCTAGGTGAATCTGCCAAGTTTTACAGTAAATATCCCAGTGATAAATTACCTTTATGTTTGATACAAAGCCCCATCTGTTCAGTTCATAAATAGGAAGCATTATGTTATACACGACAGTTTGAATCAAGTAATGATTACAAAATCACTTCCGCAGACTTCATTAATTTAATTTCAGTTCACAATATTGGAGGTACAACTGAAGGCACCAAGGCTTCAAACACGGTACCCACACTGATCCTGTGTTGTGTGAACACACCAACCATCACAATTCTATCACCACTTACACTGGGTGATGGTGCTTGAGAAGTCACAGATATCACTTAGCATGCTGAACTAAACATTTCAAATTGAAAAAATAACAAAGCAAATTGTCATGTTAGAATGCATTTATAGTAAATGAAAATGATAAATCAAAATGGTACACGTAAGAGATCAAAATGCACATTCTTCCAAGTTATCGACATGTGTTCACAGTTCAGACAGATCTAGAGAGTCAAACAAGGGAAGTAATTCCTACATCACCCTCCTCTTGTAACAAAATAATCATGCAATTGTTGGCACAAATAAATGGCCCAAATTAACGTTTTGAATTTATTTATGATATTAATTACAATAGTTGTAGACCTTTATCAGATCTTCGGGTATTATGGAAGGGGTAAGATGCATCTCACATGTCAGCTCAGAGCTGAATAAAAATCATGTGAGTTAGCTTAATTTGATCAGTATCTTTATCATATCACAGTGGTTCAGTCAGACCAGGATATCACTTGTCTATTGTGAAACCCTCAGCTCGGGTTATCATATCCCAGTGGTTCAGTCAGACCAGGATATCACTTGTCTATTGTGAAACCCTCAGCTCGGGTTGTCATGCTCACAGAAAAAATCTGGGAGTCAACCCATGATCATCAGAGCCTGGCTCAACTAAGGGAGGTAACTCCGATGGTGCCTTTAACTACTGCGGCACCTGTTCATGCAGCTGAAACAGAATGTAGTTTATCTCTGCTGAGAACCACGATGTTGGTTCGGATGAATCAACAGTTACACCAGATGGTAGTAGGTTAGCACACAATATCCAAGAAGTGTCCCATTTAAACTAAATTACAAACAATTGTTGTTTTTTCAAACCAGGATACAGAGAAATATCTCTGAAAATCTAAATAAAATGCTGAATTGATCTGTATGGGCATATACAACTCCAAAAAAGATAAGGATCACCAAATTCTTTCGCATCACTGTTGTGAATCTTCCCTGGCATCACATGAAATATGGAAACATCAGATGATCCTTAACTTTTTTGTAGTAATATATTTGTTCAACACTTTACAAACATGAAGATAAAGAGAGAACAGAGAACCTATTTTTGAACTACAATGGTAGTAAAAAGAATCATCCAGGAAAAATCTTGTCCGAATGTTCAAACAACCATCACAGTGTTCACCTTGCGTGAGAGTTCCTGAACGTACACAATGGTATGAGAATGGGTAATGAGGTGAGATAATGAGGTTTGCTAATGTCTAGATATGCACTACCCAGAGCAGCTTATTTGCTTCATATTGTGAGTGCAGGAGTGAACACACCACCGCACCAGACCACAAGGAATCATTACATATGATCACATTCACACTCAACTGACAGACGTTTCTCAAACTCCCTGGCCCTACCTCGCGTGTCTCCGGGAACCCTCTCCTTGGAGGATTTATCGATGTTCATAAACACTCTGCTCAAAGATACTACTTTTGCATATACTGCATATTGATCATAACCATAATGTATTGGCTTTTGACATAATAAAATTGTGTTATCTTTACTTTACTTTATTTAAAGAAGAAAGTATTGTGGACTCATCATACTTCACTATTAACATGGACATTGGTAACTCACACAAAACTGATTCTTATATGTCAAGAGCACATTTAAATATATCTGCCATAGCTGATTATTCCTATCAAAAGTTGAGTGGTATGTTATGCATCTTTCTTAAAGGAAATAATGTTTCAAAATTTTACCTCTTTCCTCACATAAATTGGGAGACTATGGAAATAGTTCTAACAGATTAATCCCCAAATATATATCTTATCCATTTTGGTTACAGCCTACATTGTTGTTTTGTGGAAGGAATTGACAATTTTCCTACAGAGCCAGTCTTAAAGGTTTTACGTGTTGGTCTTGGGTTTACTGCAGGACCAGGAATACCATTGGCCAAAATGAGGCGGTCAACAGTTTTGAAATAACTTGTGTTTGTCAGTTGAGAGATACGTTAGGGACAGATCTGCCATCTAATATTTACACTGTACACAGGGTCATGTACACATCACAGCATGAAAGACGTTGTCTTACAAAACATCAGGAATCACCTCGGGCTGTATGAACACAACACATGGATACGACCTCACAAAAACTCTCGAGATCACAAATACTTTGTCACAAGCATATATAGTACACAGAACAATTACAGGTACACTGGTTCTTCTGGTCACACAGGATCACAGTTCCATCACAGAAACACAGGATGAAACTATCTACAGCCACTCAAAGAATTGCCAGTACCCATACTGCTTTCGATCAAAGTAATATCTGACTACCACTTGCTCTTTGTTGGTTCTCTGTGAAATGTGCAGTGTCTTAGATGATGAGCAACACCATGTAATATCCTGTACCAAGATGAAACTATCTACAGCCACTCAAAGAATTGCCAGTACCCCCTGATGTTCCAGGGTTCGAACTGCTCTCGATCAAAGTAATATCTGACTACCACTTGTCTCTGTGAAAAGTGCAGTGTCTTAGATGATGAGCAACACCATGTATGCAATAAATATCTTTTCTTATCTTATCTAGTTATAACTTATTGACACTTGTATTTACTGACAGACCATCTGCACAGATCATAGCAACATCAGAAGTCTAAGCTCAGAGCGTGTTTCCAACAGATGGGTTTACGGCACTTTACAAATATTCATTTATTATCTACTAATATTGACTGTCCTCAGTACTAACTGGGTCTAGTACTGACTTGTTGGATCCAGTTCTGACCGACTAGCCAGAAGTCTATCTGACAGGCCCTCCTCCTGTACTCTCTATAGATGCTATAGCGGTCTTAGTTCATTAGTTGGGTATGGTAAAAGGCATGACAAGCTAACATGTCGCAATACTTGATTATGCATATCAACATTTTCAACACATATCTGACAGTTCTGCTGAACCTGTGACCCTGTATGACCAGCAACAACCTTGACCTCAGCACCCATCATAGCAGCCTTGAACAACAGTGACCATGGACAATGATTTGCTGTATCCGTTATTTCTTTACCGTTTCAATAAAAGTTATTTATTTTTATCCATAAAATCAAATTAAAATACATCATGGCACCAATTGATAAAACTGAAAATTGCAAAATGTTAAAGCTGATAACAGGAAAAAATAAAATGTTCGCCTCAAAATCTACAGAGGACGATAATTAATGGCCTAAGTAAGATATGTGCAAAGACTACTACAACCGATGTTTGGTTAAAACATTCACAATACTGTTCAGAGACTATACTCCAAAGAAATAAAAGAACATCAAATTCTTCTACCTTACTCAAGTTAATCTGTCACGACATAACCCATAATCATATGAAAGAATTAGATGTTATTTCATTTCTTTGGAGTAGTAGATATTCAAAAAGTCACTGAATGAAATTCCACATAGGGAACAATGTGCTACTGGTGCTGGATGTGAAGGTTACAAAATGTCACCACAAAGATAAGAAATCTCAACCCATGCTTTTACTGGAAGAACAACAATGAAAAAGAAAATCTGAAGAGTTTGTTGTATTGCTTTCGTCAGGTAATTATTTTAGACTGTACATAGAGGGAACAAGTTTATACAAGTATGTACACAAACAACATTTGAAACAAAATAATCTCTCAACTTATCCAACAGAATGTACAGGGATGATGGAAACAAATCCTGCATAAAGAGACGAGGAATCCTGATGGACACATGCCTGGTACCACCCAAAATTCAGTCTGCTTGACCATAAAACACCTGTAGCAGATCACATAGATGTAGCTTAGTAGCAGACGTTGACCTATACACCAGGAACTGATCTAGCTTTGTAGCAGACGTCTATCTTTACACCAGGAACTGCTCTAGCTTAGTAGCAGATGTCAATCTATACACCAGGATTTGCCCTTGATCAGAAGCAGACGTCGATCTACACACCAGGAACAGCTCTAGCTTAGTAGCAGACATCAATCTTTACACCATAACTGCTCTAGCTTAGTAGCAGATGTCAATCTATACACCAGGAACAGCTCTAGCTTAGTAGCAGACGTCAGTCTATACACCAGGAACTGCTCTAGCTTAGTAGCAGACGTCAATCTATACACCAGATTGACCTATACACCAGGAACTGCTCTAGCTTAGTAGCAGATGTCAATCTATACACCAGGAACAGCTCTAGGCTTAGTAGCAGACATCAATCTATACACCATACACCAGGATACACCACAAACCAGCTCTACCTTAGTAGCAGGCGTAGATCAGTAGCAGATGTCAATCTATACACCAGGAACATGCTCTAGCTTAGTAGCAGATGTCACTCTATACACCAGGAACAGCTCTAGCTTAGTAGCAGACGTCAATCTATACACCAGGAATTGCCCTAGATCAGTAGCAGACGTTGACCTATACACCACAAACAGCTCTGGCTTAGTAGCAGACGTTGACCTTTACACCAGGAACTGCTCTAGCTTAGTAGCAGACATTGATTTATACGCCATATAAAAACCTGAACAAACAGTTTGCTGCAAAAGTTGTTGTCATAAACAAAAACACCCAGATCGATTTCACATTAAAACAAAGAGTTTTAAAACCTTTTCATTTATGAAAATGTCCTGACAGTAAAATAATCAGTTTCCAGGGTCAGTGAATGGGAGTGTCAGATGCAGCAAGAAATTATTTTGTCCAAATAACACACATAAAAAAAGATAAAGCAAAAACTCTGTATACTGCAGCACTGTTTAGATATTGGAACTTGTTGCAACTGAAGTGCAATTTATGGCATCATATTTGATTCTTATGTGTGCACAAAGAGCTTGCTGTCAGCACCATAAATTCTATGCTAAAGCAGTTAAAAGTCCAAACTGGCAATACTTCCTGAAAGCTTTGGTTCTTTTGGTACTTGAAGACTTACGCTCAGTATTTTTCATTCCAACTTTGCAGTCATGATGGATGACTTTAGACAGCTCCTCCAAGTGGCATTGCATTGTTTGCATTGGATAACATATCTATATGATGAAAAATACTATTTCCATTTATTCTTGCTGTGATGTATAGGGCAGGTACATGATGGACTAAGAAACAAACAACATCATAACACCATAACTCAGTCTGACTCACATCATTACACCTCATCTCAATCTGACACACATCAATATTTTCTCTTCACAATACACCGGAGGTCATCAAGTGCAGTAACTTTTGTACCTCTACATGACAGTAAGCTATCTTACACAAATTCTGGAACACAGAAGTCATCACATTCTCCTGGCCTTCAGCTGCCAGTTCGTCCTGTAACCATGGCAACACAACACCATGTGCTCTTTGCCTAATACAAAATGGCTGCCAATATACTTCTTGGTTTAATACATGTTGAATACCAAGCACAGTGTGATACCACTGTTATCACCTACACATGTTCGTTATCACCCAAAGCGGGATATACATTTCTATATCACTTGCAGATCAGACTTGGGAGACCTTGATTGGTTCCGTGGCGTATATACACAATCGGCAAACATCTCCTGACACATGGCTGCGTGTATACATGTCATCATGATCGTACATTCACCATGTGTCATTCAATCATTCTATGTAACGCGGGGTATATATACACTGGCTTCTTCCAGCCTGTAAATGGATCATCGGTTCACCCATCTGCGAGTGGACTCCTCCCAGTCTGTGTTGCCCCCTTCCTCATCGTCGGTGCGGATGTACGACTCCTCGTCTGTCTGCAGGTAGCTTTCCTCATCAGTCGTGTACCGACTGCTCGTCATCAACTCCTGATGGGACAAAGAAAACAATTGACAGTTTCTAGCTTCGGGCGGAGTTTGAATCTGCCATTAGAACTATTCCAGCTGTATAAGCACTAGTTCAGCTATTCAAGCCTGAATAGAGGCTTGACTTTAACAATCAATGACAGAAAGCATGACCAGAATCCCATGCCAATAAGTTATACAATATTTATGAAATCACTCCTTCAAAACATAATTTTCATTTTTTAAACCTATATCCTATTATTGTTCATAACATTCCAGCAAGTGAGTGAATGATTTCATTTTGTTGCCAAAAGCTGTCAAATTTCTTTCCAACATTTTGGGAAATGATTATCAAAACCACATAAAAAAATCACAGCCCACTGGATGATTGTCATACAGCTCTGGATGTTCCTTACCCCAGGGTGATTGTCATAAAGCTCAGCATTCTCAGTCGTCTCCACTCCTTTCCCACTACGGTCATCGTCAGTGCGAACAAACGACTCGCCGTCATCTGTGTTGAGGGCACTGTCATCATCTGTCCTCACATACGACTGATCATCATCTGGAATGTAGCTGAAAACACAACAAATGTCACTTATACACATATTACATGGCAACAATGTAGATTTCTGTTTTACAGGCTGCCATTTGCTAGCAGGAATGTGGCTGATTGTGTTAAACGAACAAAACAAACTCACGGATCTTGTTCATTATCACTTGTGGTCTGACTGCTGTTCTCACTCCGTTGTCGCCGAGCCCGCAGTTGGGCGAGGAACTCAGACTCTTGCTTCAACCTCCAGCGGATATCATCCCGCCAAGACTCGATGTCGTCGGTACCCGTAGACCGAACCATGGAATCATTCTCATAGTTGTCAGAAGAAGAGTGTCCTACAAAGAAACACTTCTAGATTAAAAAATCGTGAAAGCATAACCTAAATGACAAAATATCAGATTTGTAAAAAAAAATACATAACTTAAGCCAGTGAGTTTGATTTAAGACTGCTTCGAAGAGCTATACACCGGCCACAGTCTACTACATACAGGAAGAATGTCAGCTGTGACAGTGGTCAGAGTGAGTGAGTGAGTTGGGCTTAACACTGCTCTGAACTGTACAGCACATAAGTTGGATGGTGGGGTAGGAGTGGTTAAAGCATTCACACTCATCACACTGAAGATGCAGGTTCGATTCATCACATTTCTGGTGTCCTCGCCGTGATATTGCTGAAAGCAGCGTAAACCATATTCACTCCCTCATTATATCAGTTACATCATAGAGTGACAGCTGAACTTGGGGAGAAAGTGAGAGTAACATGGCTCTATATTGTTAACCACTTTGATGAATGAGGGTCTGATGGGATATACTGTCTAAAATGATTTTAATAAACATAAAAATGATTAGTAAAATATATATCACAAAATTTAAAAAAAATAAATGTCAATTGTATTGCCAATCATGAGTAAAAACTTTACACTAATCGTCCTTAATCTTGAATATGACTAGATCTAATGACAACAGAATATGGTATTTGCAAACCTCAAATTACAGCACTGAATCGATAGCAGAAGCAGCTGCCCACATGGTTCCATACTGACAGACTGACAATCTGCATTGGTATACAGACACTTCACATTTAAGATTCAACTTGACAGCTTGTCCTCTATTCAGGTGTTTTTTTTACTGAACAGACAAAAATAATAACTATTGACCATAGGGCCAAAATTAATTTGATGACCACTGACTTGGACACACACACACACACCCTATCTCTCTCTCTCTCTCCCCATCCACCCCATCAAGGGAAGCATGAAATCCAGGGGCCTGGTGCTGACAAAATACCCAGGCCACTCCTGTCGCCACACACTACATAAGTTGAAGATAAGACAAGTTCCTATGCTCACTGGAGAAATTAAACAGTCAGCCAAGATACAGCAGAAATAGAGGATACTAAACGACCTTCTGTGTAATACCATTATTATTTAACGAGTTAATGATTTGATAGCAGACGAACGAAAGCGAGTTTGAAGCTAATCTTTCACGAGTTTAATAAAATTGATATTTCACGGAAGCCAGTTCAGTATTCTGTTTATTACGCTCCAACATAAATTGATAGAAACTGCGGCGAAACTGCCTACAGTGTGATGACTCTCAGCTTTCCGCAGTCTAGTACCATTGCGACAGAGGTATTAGCATTGTGACATCATAACTGTAAGCCATTATGACGTCATACGTCTAGCGATATTACACTAGTGTAATATTGCCGTAAAAATATTACACTGCAGTATCCTACGCGGTCGAGTAATAAACCACTGTTACATGACATCACACAGCCACATACTCACTCCACAAGTTTGTGCCCAGACTTTGCCCTCTTTCATCATGATTAATTCTGCTAGTTTAATCCCTTGTTTTGTCAGTGACTTCTAAAACCCAGATTTAACATGGCTGCTGAAAGCTATTTCCCTGCAACTAATCTGTGTTCTCACAAACCCATCTTGGACTGTAATTTCACATGTGTTTATGCTTTTGCTCAACTATATAAAAAAGATTGAATGAACCTTGGAGTAACATATTCAGTTATATCAGCACACACCATCAGCATTAGGATAGCTTATCCAAGACTGCTGCTGTTATATTTTACACAGTGAGCGAGTGAGTTGGGCTTTACACCGCCGCTTTGAACAGTATCAATAATAATAATAATAGTAATGGCTGTTTATAAAGCACCTGTTTTCACACACTTGTGCATGCTCAAGGCGCTAACACATTATTTCCCTGAATAACCCAAGCTGCCTTTGAGAAGGTTAACAGTCATATGACTTATCCCACTGGGTACCCATTCCCTGCTAAGAGAACAGAGGCAAAACAACAACTCCCCTAGGGCACACCACCACAGTATTCCAGTGTGTCAGCATGATGCTGGAGAGAAGTCAAAGAGATGCATGTCTCAGACATTTACATCTCTGGAGGACCATGAACACAGGTTTGGTGCTGACAAACCTAGAAACATAATGGTGGCTAACCAGGATTTGAACCCACTATGATAAGTTTCTGGCCTGCTAAAGGGAAACAACCCTGCACTGAACACTGCAGCAATTTATACAAGTGGGCCACTTGTGCATCCTAAAATACTCTGTTGATATACATAGAGATTTTCTGGGTTACATCTTCTTTTTATTCTTGAGTACAACGTTTCAGGGCTTGTTCTGGCCCCAACCTGATGATGGGGCCAGAACAAGCCCTGAAACGTTGTACTCAAGAATAAAAGAAGATGTAACCCATAAAAATCTCTATGTTCATCAAATAGCATCTTCTAAAATGCCAATCAAGCATCTGTTGATATACATGAACAAAATAAAAATAGCTTTGTACACTGTCTTAAACAGTGTTTTACAAACTTGTGCTGCATTTCAACCTAATCACAGAAATTGTTGACTTTTATAGAAACTGGCAACTGAGTGAAGTCTAGTGCACTGAACTGGTTTTCCTCCCTGGCCTCCCTGCTGTAAGACCACTGCAGAAATCTCCAGTGTTTATCCACACCTGTCATTATTGATAGTAAATACAAATATTAATGATGTCATGTGACCACACAGCAGTACATTGACTGGTGATACATTACGGCTATTTTTGCCTGATTTATCCCCCAAATCCGCGTGTCTCTCTCGATGCTGCATCCAAATCCCATCTCGGCTTAAAGCTTGGTTCGTGTGATTATCACACTAAGTAGTTTCTGTGTAAATAGCCCAGATAAATAACAACGCTTGTCAATTCCCATTCCGTCTAATGAGCAAACAGCTCCGTACATGATGGTTTTCAAACTTAACAGCCATCCATGCTGTTCTTGCCCACTTTGTTCAACCATCAGCAGCAATTGCTGTAATGTCTTCCCATGTTACCAAACAAAATCATACTTTCATCAAACAGATCATGACACATGATTGAAGGTAAACACTACGACTATTCTGTGCGTTTGTTGCCCTAATTGCTACAACTTAGACGTCAATGAAACAGGGAAATGAAACAGTTTTCATGTCTATGAAATAGAAAATAGATCATATTACTGAAGATTAGGGACGTCTTTAAGGTCTGAGAGTCTAAGTAGTCTTCTGCTTCTTCTGTACAGATTGGCAACAATGGCGTCAATCTAAAGACGTACAACTGCAGAACACAGGCTTACCATTTACACAGTATGGAATGTTGGTTGACTCTGTTGAACAGTCACTGCGCTAGGACTATTGGTTTTTAAATTTAATGCTGGATTGTTACAGGAATTGAAACACTGGATGTCAGTGTTGAAACACTGCAGTAGCACAAGGAACATGGTGGTCCTTATTGAGGACTGTCAAAGCACAATTAATGGTGGTTGTCTGTGTTGAAGGATGGGGTACTGTGTCGGTCAGCTTATCAACACTGTTGTTGACAATGAAGGATTAGGGCCAAGCTGTAGTGCTTGGATTATCAAAGAATTACAAGACTTCTGAACTGATACAGATTTGGTTGCCACAAAACATGAGCTGCATTAATAGGCATGTCCTTAACTTGTTTCACAAAGTTATTGCACTGCAATCAGAAGGAGTGACATTTTTTCTTGTAACTTGACCATTTGCATTAATGATTTGATCAATCTGAAGAGTGCAAATATCCTCATCATTCAACATCCGACCCTTCAATAAAACCTGGACAGAATATCAAACATGGCCTGTGTTGTATATGTCTAACTGAACATTGTTGACATCAGTCAGAGATAACTGAGGTTTTCATACAGGAATATGTTTCAGATTGATTATATTAACACAACATTTAACTTAATTGATATTGATTTGTGGTGATTATCAAATTTATCTTTCATAATGATTGATTTATAAATCATGATTGCTATTAGTAAAACATAAGTTAATAGAAATCAGTCAATATTTGCATAAAAAGAACAAAATGTTTTCTCCAAAAACAGAACAACAGAGTGGCCCATGTTTTGACTGACAACACACCTGGGTACACGTATCAATTTACTGGGCACAAAGGGTAGCCACCACTTCTGGTGTCCTCTGTCTGGGTATTGCTGGCTTAATTATTGCTAAAACCAGCCTGAAACCCCACCCACTTTACAAGTACAGACAAACACTGTTGTGACCAGTCTTGCCGTAGAAGCTGCAGTAGCTGCATATTCGGGCTGTAGTCACTATTTTGTGACGCATCGACGCATCTGCGCGCGCGCGACGCGACGCACACACACACACAAACTTGCAGATGCTGCCAGTCAAGAGTTAATGGGTTTTTTCCAGTATTACGCAGAGGAAGAAACTACATAGTATCCTTTCAGCCTTGGTTATCCACAGGACATGAAACTATAGCTCACATGTTTAACACTGACTTAACATTATTCCAGTCTTATAACTTTAAAACAACCAGTGATTCAGACACAACAGCACACAGTAAGGTGACACAGACATGCGATCAACCACGTCATGGAACGATCCATTAAGTCAAATTTTAACAATTACAGGCTGTTCCTGGTAGAACAACTTGTTCTCTCATGGAAAAATGTTGACTGAATTTATTGCTGACTGTGGCACAAAACTCACCTAAACTTTTCCCATTTAAGTCATCATCTTCCTCACTGCCGCTGTTTTCTGAAAGGAAATACCATACAAATAACACCTTGATATTTGTAAACTGATCATGCTCCATCAGCGACCCAGTGGGCAGAACACATCTGTCAGGAATAACAGGACAACTCATCATCTTCCAACATGGCAGGACCACTGGAGAACCTTCTCCTCAGTCTGTCCCATCGATCTGCTGTATAATCAGCAAACTTTGAGTGCTGTATCTATTCTCAACACCCGTCACTTTCATATCAATTTCAAAATTAAGTGAATGTCATGTGGAAAATGTCGTTTTTACCATACTGATTTCCCAATTTGCACCATTTCCATAGCAATAACTCAAATATTTATGGCAGAGACATTTAACTTATTCTCCCGAGACTGAGGCTATTAGACAGAACTATGTGTTGTGGTTGTGCCTATCATTAGGCATTTGAACATCACAGTTCTACCTGCCTGTTACACTAAACCTAACAGCAGACAGATGCCCACCAGAATATTGACAACCCCTTCCAATTACTGTCAAGTCATATAGGTGGCCTGCTTTAGCTTGAGAAAGAGACAGGCTATTTCAGACTTAACATTTCTAACACTGAGTACAGTCAATTTGGTGTACTGCTTCATTTAAGCTTTAAAATGGCACTCAAACAAATGCATTATGATACTTTCCTATTAAGGGATATTATCATTGTTAAAGGGTAGGTTTGCATTTTGTCTGTGGCTGTGTTTCTTATCAGATAAGGACAAACCTTATGGATGAACAACTTCTTTAATCAGGTGATGCAACATTTCGATACATGTTCTTGCATCGTTGTCAAGCAGGTATGATACTCTCCAACTTCTAAAACTGCCACCCAAAGAAGTTGTTTTTCTCAGTATCGCTGACAGTTTACAGCAAGGCAGGTGAAAAACAAACAGGACTAAAAACATATACCATCACTGGATCATGTAATCTACTACACATGTATTATCAGTAGATCATGTAGTCAACTACACCTGTACAATCAGTGTATCATGTAGTCAACTACACCTGTACTATCAGTGGATCATGTAGTCAACTATACCTGTACAATCAGTGGATCATGTAGTCAACTACACCTGTACAATCAGTGGATCATGTAGTCAACTACACCTGTACAATCAGTGGATCATGTAGTCAACTACACCTGTACAATCAGTGGATCATGTAGTCAACTACACCTGTACAATCAGTGGATCATGTAGTCAACTACACCTGTACAATCAGTGGATCATGTAGTCAACTACACCTGTACAATCAGTGGATCATGTAGTCAACTACACCTGTACAATCAGTGGATCATGTAGTCAACCACACCTGTACAATCAGTAGATCATGTAGTCAACTACACCTGTACAATCAGTGGATCATGCAGTCAACTACACCTGTACAATCAGTGGATCATGTAGTCAACTACACCTGTACAATCAGTGGATCATGTAGTCAACTACACCTGTACAATCAGGTTATCATGTAGTCAACTACACCTGTACAATCAGTGGATCATGTAGTCAACTACACCTGTACAATCAGTGGATCATGTAGTCAACTACACCTGTACAATCAGTGGATCATGTAGTCAACTACACCTGTACAATCAGTGGATCATGTAGTCAACTACACCTGTACAATCAGTGGATCATGTAGTCAACTACACCTGTACAATCAGTGGATCATGTAGTCAACTACACCTGTACAATCAGTGGATCATGTAGTCAACTACACCTGTACAATCAGTGGATCATGTACAATCAGTGGATCATGCAGTCAACTACACCTGTACAATCAGTGGATCATGTAGTCAACTATACCTGTACAATCAGTGGATCATGTAGTCAACTACACCTGTACAATCAGTGGATCATGTAGTCAACTATACCTGTACTATCAGTGGATCATGTAGTCAACTACACCTGTACAATCAGTGGATCATACAGTCAACCACACCTGGACCACCAGTGGATCATGTAGTCAACTACACCTGTACCATCAGTGTATCATGCAGTCAACTACACCTGTACCATCAGTGTATCATGCAGTCAACTACACCTGTACCATCAGTGTATCATGCAGTCAACTACACCTGGACCATCAGTGTATCATGCAGTCAACTACACCTGTACCATCAGTGTATCATGCAGTCAACTACACCCGGGATACATGGTATGACTTATGCTACCAAGTTTCAACACACATAGTGAGCAGCACTAATATCCTCATGGCAAGTCTATTTAGTCTCAGGAGGCATGATATCAGTATGGACATTTGAATAGCATAATAGCCTGCAGTGCTATATTAAGGGCAGGGAGGCATGACGGCAATGTGGACAGTTTAATGTAGCATTGTGTCACGCTGCCGTTAGCCATGATTACAAATCACAGAAATACATTGTGTCGTGTAGTGCAGACACGAGACGTGATTATGGTCATGATCCTACAGCAAAAAGTGAAACAAGTGCACTGAATGTTCTGAGGCCACATGAGGCCAAAACAAATTATTATTGGATTTGTTTCCATGCTATACTTTCACATGTTTTGAGTTTCAGAGGAAAGAGCTGGCAGACAGTTGGCAGTGAGTGAGTGAGTGAGTGAGAGTGGTTTTACGCTGTACCCAGCAATATTTCAGCCATATCGCGGCGGTATGTAAATAACCAAGTCTGGACCAGACAATCCAGTGATCAACATCATGTGCATCGATCTACACAAATTGGGATACGATGACATGTGTCAACCAAGTCAGCGTACCTGACCACCCGATCCCATTAGCTGCCTCATACAACAAAGATGATTAAACTTTCACAACAGTTGTAACAATTATATACAACATTCCCAACATGCAGTTGTTGCTTGGTCTCACCTGAGTTTAACTCCTTCACGAGAGATGACATGGCGTTGGTGACCGAATCTGCCGCCACTAACAGGTCATTCCGTAGACTGCGGACGTTCCCCCCGCTGCTGGGTGTTTGATGGAAGGCTTGTCGTACGTCACCCCCCAACCCAGTCAGAGACATGTCCATGGGTGTGCTGGGGGTGGAGTTCTTGGCTGGGGGAGGGGCTATCGTTGGGGACAACCCACTCCGTGACCGAGGTGAACTATTTGGTGTGGAGCGAGGTGAATTTGGATGATTCTGAAACAAGTGAGTTTGAAGGTGTCACTTTCATGATAACAAGATTCACAAACACATGTGGGAACCTAACCTGTACAGAATCTGCTTATTGTACCAAGAAGCAGCTGGTCTGTTTTCATTACAACAATTCATATAAACCTTGTCTGTGGCTATTTCCATCAAGAAGTTGTAATTAAACCCCTGTGTTAAACTGAGACACATTCAGTAGCATTTCAGTCATAACCTTTCATGCAAGCTTACTGTGATGTAAAGCAAACAGTTTCTGTGGAAGGAATGGAAACAATTGTCAGTACCATTTTGTGAAGCATGGCACATGCAGGCACCTATGGGACATAACTCTGCACAGCAAATTGTTACAGCTGACAGTTGACCCAGCATATAGTGACGCCAACAAAGAATACCCAAGACTGAATTCAATATCTATTTCTGTCTTTACAAGTAGCCAGATAATGATATTTTGTGAAAAAGACAGTGTATAAATTATTTTTGACAACTGAAAAATGTGTGAATTATCCTGAATGCTAATTCCTGGATAGGGACCAAAAATATTTTGAGTTAGTGAGTGAAGTTTTATGCTGCTTCTATTACAACAGCAATAACAGTAGTAGAAGCAAGGATGAGAGATGTTCTATAAGAGAGCACTGTTGGAGAATGGTGAAAAGACCTGGCATCAAAGGTCTTGTAACCTGTAGGGGTTAGAGTAAGGAGGGTCTTGTCAGCACAACAAAGACTTCTTGATGGTTGATAGACAATAGTGGGCACTTCAGGACATATAGGGAGTCTTGTGTTCTGTCTGATGTATTAAAGACACCACTCTAATTATAACCAGGCCTTCAGTGTGACAAGCGAACGCTATTCAGCTGCAAGACTACCGCACATGGAATCTTGCTCGTCATACAAGATACTTGGCACTAAGAAGACCCCACAATCCAGCAGTCTGAAGCATTCTTGCAATTCCCTACTGCATTCAGATCGAACCCTATTTCTTTTAAAAGGATTTCATGAAAGACGATTTGCCTTCAAAATTCACAGAAGAAAGCGTTTGTCATGTATTGTCAATGGTAGACCGCATTCGCTAACAAATGTCTTTTTTCTTTCGTTACTGACAAGGAAAATATTGAACTTCCCAGATGAAGCGCAAAGATTCTATTAAAAGAGTATTTAATTGATCTCCCTACAACTGCCAGTGCTGCGTTAGCTCTGCCGGCGTCCAGACCTTGTTAGAGAGCTATAATCCTCTCAGCCATCAATTAATCCTCACCGTAAGGAAATGTCTCGTTTATCCAAATATGCATGTATAAAACAAATTTGTTTAATTTGAGAAGCAGAAAGATTCAATTTGTTAATGATGATAGTCTTTAAGCAAATTATTTTTCTGCACGTCAGTCCTGAGTGGATCAGAATGTTAAACTGCAATAATAAGGTCCCAATTCCCCCTGGCTACCGAGGGATTCGCAACAACATTCTCGCCTGTCACCGGAGACAATAAGAGATGTTTGTTTTGCCTCAGGAAACAAATTATGTCACGGTCATAGTGTGGATCCGTCCAGGGCTAGAACTAAACTGTGTTCACAATTAGAATGACAGATAATTCTCTCACAGCTCTGTACCATTTAATACAGATGTGTAATGATAAGGGATTCCCACGCAACGCATCCATTGTTAACTGGAATCTTGAAATGTATTTCAGCATTGTTTTTCTCTACATTACCTTACCGATTATCCCATAGGTCTGGTTACCATGGGAATAAAGCCTGGAGCACCCTCAGACCTTCAGGATTTGTGATCGGACCTACTGATTGGTTGATCAGACCTAGTGGCTGGTTGATCAGACCTAGTGGCTGGTTGATCAGACCTAGTGATTGGTTGATCAGACCTAGTGATTGGTTGATCAGACCTAGTGATTGGTTGATCAGACCTAGTGACTGGTTGATCAGATGTAGTGTTGACTGGTGGTTGATCAGACGTAGTGACTGGTGATCATTGATCAGACCTAGTGACTGGTTGATCACACCTAGTGGCTGGTTGATCAGACCTAGTGGTTGGTTGATCAGACCTAGTGGTTGGTTGATCAGACCTAGTGACTGGTTGATCAGACCTACTGATTGGTTGATCAGACCTAGTGATTGGTTGATCAGACCTAGTGACTGGTTGAACAGACCTAGTGACTGGTTGATCAGACCTAGTGATTGGTTGATTAGACGTAGTGATTGGTTGATCAGACCTCCAGTGATTGGTTGATCAGACATAGTGACTGGTTGATCAGACCTAGTGATTGGTTGATCAGACGAGTGACTGGTTGATCAGACCTAGTGATTGGTTGATCAGACGTGAGTGACTGGCTTTGTTGATCAGACCTAGTGATTGGTTGATCAGACCTAGTGATTGGTTGATCAGACCTAGTGACTGGTTGATCAGACCTAGTGATTGGTTGATTAAACTTTCACAACAGTTGTAACAATTATATACAACATTCCAAACATGCAGTTGTTGCTTGGTCTCACCTGAGTTTAACTCCTTCACGAGAGATGACATGGCGTTGGTGACCGAATCTGCCGCCACTAACAGGTCATTCCGTAGACTGCGGACGTTCCCCACGCTGCTGGGTGTTTGATGGAAGGCTTGTCGTACGTCACCCCCCAACCCAGTCAGAGACATGTCCATGGGTGTGCTGGGGGTGGAGTTCTTGGCTGGGGGAGGGGCTATCGTTGGGGACAACCCACTCCGCGGACCGAGACTATTTGGTGTGGGCGAGGTGAATTTGGATGATTCTGAAACAAGTGAGTTTGAAGGTGTCACTTTCATGATAACAAGATTCACAAACACATGTGGGAACCTAACCTGTACAGAATCTGCTTATTGTACCAAGAAGCAGCTGGTCTGTTTTCATTACAACAATTCATATAAACCTTGTCTGTGGCTATTTCCATCAAGAAGTTGTAATTAAACCCCTGTGTTAAACTGAGACACATTCAGTAGCATTTCAGTCATAACCTTTCATGCAAGCTTACTGTGATGTAAAGCAAACAGTTTCTGTGGAAGGAATGGAAACAATTGTCAGTACCATTTTGTGAAGCATGGCACATGCAGGCACCTATGGGACATAACTCTGCACAGCAAATTGTTACAGCTGACAGTTGACCCAGCATATAGTGACGCCAACAAAGAATACCCATGACTGAATTTAATATCTATTTCTGTCTTTACAAGTAGCCAGATAATGATATTTTGTGAAAAAAACAGTGTATAAATTATTTTTTGACAACTGAAAATGTGTGAATTATCATGAATGCTAATTCCTGGATAGGGACCAAAAATATTTTGAGTTAGTGAGTGAAGTTTTATGCTGCTTCTATTACAACAGCAATAACAGTAGTAGAAGCAAGGATGAGAGATGTTCTATAAGAGAGCACTGTTGGAGAATGGTGAAAAGACCTGGCATCAAAGGTCTTGTAACCTGTAGGGGAGTTAGAGTAAGGAGGGTCTTGTCAGCACAACAAAGACTTCTTGATGGTTGACAGACAATAGTGGGCACTTCAGGACATATAGGAGTCTTGTGTTCTGTCTGATGTATTAAAGACACCACTCTAATTATAACCAGGCCTTCAGTGTGACAAGCGAACGGCTATTCAGCTGCAAGACTACCGTGACATGGAATCTTGCTTTCGTCATACAAGATACTTGGCACTAAGAAGACCCCAACAATCCAGCAGTCTGAAGCATTCTTGCGATTCCCCACTGCATTCAGATCGAACCCTATTTCTTTTAAAAGGATTTCATGAAAGACGATTTGCCTTCAAAATTCACAGAAGAAAGCGTTTGTCATGTATTGTCAATGATAGACCGCATTCGTTAACAAATGTCCTTTTTCTTTCGTTACTGACAAGGAAAATATTGAACTTCCCAGATGAAGCGCAAAGATTCTATTAAAAGAGTATTTAATTGATCTCCCTCCAACTGCCAGTGCTGTGTTAGCTCTGCCGGCGTCCAGACCTTGTTAGAGAGCTATAATCCTCTCAGCCATCAATTAATCCTCACCGCAAGGAAATGTCTCGTTTATCCAAATATGCATGTATAAAACAAATTTGTTTAATTTGAGAAGCAGAAAGATTCAATTTGTTAATGATGATAGTCTTTAAGCAAATTATTTTTCTGCACGTCAGTCCTGAGTGGATCAGAATGTTAAACTGCAATGATAAGGTCCCAATTCCCCTGGCTACCGAGGGATTCACAACATCCTCGCCTGTCACTGGAGACAATAAGGGATGTTTGTTTTGCCTCAGGAAACAAATTATGTCACGGTCATAGTGTGAATCAGTCCAGGGCTAGAACTAAACTGTGTTCACAATTAGAATGACAGATAATTCTCTCACAGCTCTGTACCATTTAATACAGATGTGTAATGATAAGGATTCCCATCACGCATCCATTGTTAACTGGAATCTTGAAATGACCTAGTGATGTATTTCATCATTGTTTTTCTGACATTACCTTGATTATCCCAGTGGTCTGGATGATCAGACCCTAGTGGCTGGTTGATCAAGACCTGGTGACTGGTTGATCAGACCTAGTGGCTGGTTGATCAGACCTAGTGGTTGGTTGATCAGACCTAGTGATTGGTTGATCAGACCTAGTGACTGGTTGATCAGACCTAGTGACTGGTTGATCAGACCTAGTGACTGGTTGATCAGACCTAGTGACTGGTTGATCAGACCTAGTGACTGGTTGATCACACCTAGTGACTGGTTGATCACACCTAGTGGCTGGTTGATCAGACCTAGTGGTTGGTTGATCAGACCTAGTGACTGGTTGATCAGACCTACTGATTGGTTGATCAGACCTAGTGATTGGTTGATCAGACCTAGTGATTGGTTGATCAGACCTAGTGACTGGTTGATCAGACGTAGTGATTGGTTGATCAGACCTAGTGATTGGTTGATCAGACCTAGTGATTGGTTGATCAGACCTAGTGACTGGTTGATCAGACCTAGTGATTGGTTGATCAGACGTAGTGATTGGTTGATCAGACCTAGTGATTGGTTGATCAGACCTAGTGATTGGTTGATCAGACGTAGTGACTGGTTGATCAGACCTAGTGATTGGTTGATCAGACCTAGTGATTGGTTGATCAGACGTAGTGACTGGTTGATCAGACCTAGTGACTGGTTGATCAGACGTAGTGATTGGTTGATCAGAGGTAGTGACTGGTTGATCAGAGGTAGTGACTGGTTGATCAGACCTAGTGGTTGGTTGATCAGACCTAGTGACTGGTTGATCAGACCTACTGATTGGTTGATCAGACCTAGTGATTAGTTGATCAGACCTAGTGGCTGGTTGATCAGACCTAGTGACTTGTTGATCAGACCTAGTGATTGGTTGATCACACCTAATGGTTGGTTGATCAGTCCTAGTGACTGGTTAATCAGACCTAGTGGCTGGTTGATCAGACCTAGTGATTGGTTGATCAGACCTCATGGTTGGTTGATCAGAACTAGTGGTTGGTTGATCAGTCCTAGTGACTGGTTGATCAGACCCTAGTGACTAGTTGATCAGACCTAGTGACTGGTTGATCAGACCTAGTGATTTTGTGACCAGATCTTCTGATTTTATTATCAGATCTATTTATTTTATGATCAGACTATGATGATCAGACCTACAGGTTGTGTGATCAGGCCGATAGATTGTGACGTCAGCCTTTGTAATTATATGTCGACCCTACAGATGATGGCTGATCCACCCACCTAACAATAACTCTGAGCATTACTGTTGTAAACTGACATTCAGTCCTACCGTCTGACAGTCAACCCATCCAGATGATAGTTGACCCAACCACCAATCAGCCAACCTGAATCAATACACCCACCTGACAGTTGACCCATCCACCTAGTCCATCCACCAGTCAACCTACACCCACCTGACAGTCAATCCAAGAACTTTACAGTCAATCCACCCTGTAACAGTCAATCCACCCTATAACAGTCAACCTACCCTATAACAGTCAACCCATTAACCTAACAGTCGACCCTACAAATGATGGTTGATCCACCCACCTAATCGTCGCCCTGAATCAATCCACCCACCTAATAGTCGTCCCACCCACCTGACATTCAACGTGAGTCAACCCACCCACCCACCTGACAATCAACCTGACAGTCATCACATGATCATTCCCACCTTCAGCAGCTTCATGAGACTCTCCAGCTGCACCATCAAGTCTTTCCTGCTCTCCTGAAGTGCCTGCATGCGGCCCTCCAGCTCATCCTTCCGTTGTCGTAGTAGTCGCAGCTCTGCCAGGAGAGTTGGGTTATATTGTGCCTCCTCATTCTCCGCAGCATATGACTCCTGCTCTAACCGTAGTCGTTGTATCTCTCGCATGATCTCCCTGAAACAGAGGCAGAAATACAGATGTGTGACAGTCACTCTCACACAGAAGGGTAGAAGGGAAAACAGAAGTGTCTGAGTGAGTGAGTGAGTGAGTTAGTTTGAGTGAGTGAGTTTGGTTTCATCAGCTTTAGCAATATTCCAGCAACATCACAGCTGGAACACCAGAAATAGGCTTCACACATTGTTCCCATGTGGGGATTCGAACCCGGGTCTTCGGCATGACGAACAAACGCTTTAACCACTAGGCTACCCCACCGCCCCAGAAGTGTCTGAAATACCTGTCTCACTAAGTAATATTTTAACAGACTTTAGGTATAAAAATCAAATAGCATATGCAGATCCTTCAAAGCATTCTAGATCATCTTCTGAAACCAGAGCCACACCATTAGTCAGGTTGGTGGAATGGATGGAGTATAAGATGAGTTGGATTGACTGCCACAAGAGGTAACTTTATCTGAACAAAGAATCCCTCCAACTTTTACATAATCTGATCTGGAAATCTATTAAAAAAAACCTGGTCTGAACCACAAACCCATGCAAACAGTTCATCTGATCAGCAGATTCCTACAAAGAGTTGGTCTGATCAACCGACTCCTATAAACAGTTGGTCTGAACCACAAACTGCTATGAGCAATTAGTTTGAACAACGAAACCATCCCACACTCAAAACAGCTGGTCTGAACCAAAGACACATAAACAGATGACATCAGCCTTCCCACAAACAGATAGTCTGAACCAAAGACACATAACAAACAGATGACATCAGCCTTCCCACAAACAGATAGTCTGAACCAAAGACACATAACAAACAGATGACATCAGCCTTCCCACAGATAGTCTGAACCAAAGACACATAACAAACAGATGACATCAGCCTTCCCACAAAAAGACAGTCTGAACCAAAGACACATAACAAACAGATGACATCAGCCTCAGCTGATCTGAACCAACAAACAGATAGTCTGAACCAAAGACACAAAACAAACAGATGACAAGCCTTCCCACAGCTGATCTTCCCACAATCAGCTGATCTGAACCAAAGACACATAACAAACAGATGACATCAGCCTTCCCACAATCAGCTGATCTGAACCAAAGACACATAACAAACAGATGACATCAGCCTTCCCACAATCAGCTGATCTGAACCAAAGACACATAACAAACAGATGACATCAGCCTTCCCACAATCAGCTGATCTGAACCAAGACACATAACAAACAGATGACATCACCCTTCCCACAAACAAGTGGGCTGAACCAATGACACAAACATCAGCCTTCCCACAAACAGTTGGGCTGAACCAATGACAAGTAACAAACATTAGCCTTCCCACAAACATAGTTGACTAAACAACACCCTCAGTACCGTCGGCAGCTATGACATAAACCACAAGCATCACTACAGCGGCCTTGTTACCAACATCAATAAGTTCATGTTCACAAAGCGAAGCAGGAAGCGACGACCATCAGGAATTACCACACCAAAACCAACTATACACATCAGCTTAATGCACTAATGAATTATTCAAACTTCATGAAATATTAAATACATGATACTTTGTATTTCGATATTTACAAAACTCCATGTTGTCCAGATAATCTGACTGCAAAACACTTTCAAAGCTCATTTGATTATTGTCAGCATTGATCAAGTATGAACCTATGTTGCATGGCTGCTCCAAAAGCTGCATGCCCGACAGCGCCATGGTCATATGTCTCCACCATCATGATTATAATGAAATATTCATCTAATATCCCCTTTTGTAGCCTTTTCATGGCACAAATTAGATTTAAGTAGCGTAACTTGATAATATTCCTTCTTCACACGGATGTTGTACATGGCGACACTTTGTCAGATATGGACATTCACCGAGTTATAATTACATTTAAAGTTGGCATAACAAAAAGACATTGAATTTATAACATGATCTCCAAAATAATGAGGCTTGAAACTTTTGAATATTTCAAATTAAGTGTGACATTTCAGAAAGTTATTTGACACTTACATGTCTTTAAACATGCATTCTTTATAACTTGATTATATGTCATTTAATCAAATTTGGCAGCATCATAAAATGTCTGCCAGAATACAAAGCCTTCAGTGAGAGAAGTTATCAGGAATGTATAAGGTGTAGCACTCTTGTCATGCCAAATGTCAGGAATTTGGTTATAATCGTTCACTGCAACCAGGAGAAGTAAACCAAAAGTGTGAACACTTAAAACAGGTGTTATATACAAAACAATTGACCCAAGTTGATACTAGGTGCAGAAAAATAATATTGTAATACTCTTGAAACTGATGCCATGCCATTATCTTATTACGGTTTAAGACATAGCCCTGGATGCCGACATCAACGAACTATTGCTGCACGTTAGACATTAAGCGAAATTTGTAAACACTCACACTTCTTAATTCACTTCAAAATAAATATACAAACACACAGATGTCTTATGAGTGTTCAATCATGGTTAAAAAATTATAGAAATTCAATATTATTCATTATCTTATAATGGAAGGATAGTCAATGGTTTCCTTACAAGCTTGAAAAGCATGATTTTGGCAAGGTAGCTTGTGCTTTGCTCCATAGAATGTACAGTGATCCCTTTCTGTGCAGTTAAAACATTTACATTTTGAAAATAATTATCTTAAAAAGTTCAATACTCTGAACGCACACCAGCAAATCTCTATTAACCCAAAATCTTGTGTAAGACACTGTCTGGTTTAACACAGAAATTATTTAGAATGAAACAGTTAAAAAAACCTAGTTCCCGAGAACGATGAGGAATTAGTTATTGATTGTATGATAATAACTAAACATGTCAAAACATTTGAAAGAAAAGCAGGAAATTGGATGAATCAAATTCCGTCTGTAGTGTTAATATAACTCTGTCATTCTTGGATCAATTACATGGAACAACTGAGCATGTTCTCAGCACTTGCAGTACTGGCGCACTCCACTGATCTAGCCCTGCAGAACCTTCAGCTTTAGGACCCATTCCAAATAGATATCGTAGAACTACGATGATCGTAAGTTTATGTTGTACTGTGGAAGTTGCGATCACCTCAGTGCTAAGATAGCTTTGTGAAACCAGGCCATGGTGAGAAAATAACATAACCACTGAGGGCATTCAAACACTATCATTGAGTGAGATTCGTTTAAAGCAATTTGAACAGTATTCCAGTTATACAGTCGAGCACCGTTGTCTCGATATACATGGGACCAAGAAAATATATCAACTTATGCGAACTTCCGACCATGGCATATCATCACATATCACCGTAAAAGAAAAGAAAACGCTTCTCAGTAGGTTTTGATTCGAAACTATAAAACCATGAAATTATATAGAGATATCCGAAATATCAAGACATCCGTATCGAGTTAAAAGAGTTTGAATAATGATATTTTATGAAGGATCTTGCCGGGACCGAAATGTTATATCGAGACATCCGAGATATCGAGTTATCAGAGTTCGACACAACGGTGCTCGACTGTATTTGTGTGTCAGTTTAAAGTAGAAGGACAAAACTCCTTGTGGAGTAACAAGCTCTCACCTTCTTTCTCAATGCTGACCTTGTTTTCACATATGTTTTATAATGCTTTACAGCTATATAAATATAGGACTCACTATTACTTGTTAGTTTATTGTAAGCAGAAGGACGTTGGTTAGCCAGCTTGGTACAGTGCCTACTTATCATGCCCAAGACCTGGTTCAATTATCAACTTTTGCTGCAATGTACAAAGCTGAAATACTCAATCAACAGAATGGCACAAAACTCTCAAAGGAAACCACTGCATTAGATGGAAATAGTTTTTGTACTTTCATTTATTAACATTTGAATCAGAGCGGAACCAGGTGTTTGAGTAGTTTGAGTTGTATCCCCTGGGAGGGCCAGGATCTGCTTGTCAGGGATTTGAATTATGATCATAGAAATTAACTCACTTGTTCACTCTTTACCTCAGTGGAAAAGAGATAGTCATAACAAACTGCAGGAATCAAACCTTGTTACAAAGCCTCAAGTGAAAACTGTGCCCACTGCTATCCAACATGATTCAATCAATTTAAAAAGAATACCAAACAATATCACATTGAACTGCAGTAGTTGGGCTCATATATGTTGCCAGCAGTATGAGGCTCACTTCTCATCAGATCAAACACTCACTTAATAAAGACTCTGACCATAACACAATTAGCCTGAAATAGGATAAACTTGCTGCCCACGCCATTCTGCACAGACTTGGTTCAGCAGAAAGGCGAGGTATAAATGGAATTCTTTCTGACAAGGATATCAGCCATTCCCTCATGTGGACTTGCTTCAGGATGCCAAATAATGGCTTCTTTGAGGTAGTTGGTCTGAAGATCTAACAATACCTAAAGACAAACTCCAGCCCCAGAATAGATGGCAACATCAATGCCAGTCTTGATTATTTCATTGTTGTTCAAACTCACAACCCTAGGGCATAGTTTCCATACCAATTAACGATAAAGATCTTGAGATACAAGAAGCAACTTTCAGCTAGTAGTTATTTATCAAGTTCAGTGACTTAATCAAATTTGCCACAAGCAGTCAGATTTACAGGTAGAGGGTTTCCACGTATAGCCACATTTAATAGAGGAGAGTCGTGTCATACAACCAGGGTGACAGTTGGCTGGGTTACAGGTGCCACAGCACTTCATATATCACATCATATCACAGCACCTTGTGTTACATGTGCAGCATGCCACCTTGTATATCATTGGACTGCACTTAGTATATCATGTAAGTCACATATGATGCATATACCTCATATATCAGGGCAATGCATTTCATACGTCATGGATCAGTACGCACCACGAATATCACTGCATCTTGTTTGTCATTTCGCAAGTCAAGGCAAATCTTTATATAAATTGTGACAAAACACCTCACAATTCACGGCACTACAATGGCATCTCATATGTCATTGCACTGCATGCATCTCGCATATCATAGCACTGCATGTATCTTGTATATCAT